CTCACTTAGCAACAAAAATGTGGGGCTCAATTGTGGTCATAAGCTGAGGACTACCAATTTATTTTATTTTTTTTAATTTCCAATTTATATACCGCCCTTCTCCCTGAGGACTCAGGGCGGTGTACAGCCAGAATTAAGAACATGAAATACAAATATTAAAAAACAATTAAAAGATATATAAATTTGGCCCCAAAATTAAAAATCACAAACCAATTAAAACATTTAAAATTTCTTCTTAAGCCAGCCCGGCTTGCTGGAAAAAATGGGTTTTAAGGGCACGGCGGAAGGCACTGAGGTCTTGGATTCTCCTTATCTCTGGGGGCAACTGATTCCAGAGGGTAGGTGCCCCCACAGAGAAGGCCCTCCCCCTGGGGGTCACCAGCCTACATTGTTTGGCTGATGGCACCCTGAGGAGGCCCTCTCTGTGGGAGCGCACGGGTCGATGGGAGGTCGTCGGTAGCAGCAGGCGGTCTCGAAGATAGCTAGGCCCTATGCCATGGAGCGCTTTAAAGGTGATGACCAACACCTTGAAGCGCACCCGGAAGACAATTTTAAATTTTGAATTGGTGAAGACTCCTGAGAACACCATGGACAGCTGAGAAAACAAATGTCACATCAAACAAATCAACCCAGTTTTCTCATTTGAGGCACAAATAAACTCAAATTATCCTACTTCAGATGCATTATGCGAAGATCCAGCTCTCTGCAGACTCCTTACAGTGGTAATGAGTGCACATCATCACAGGGAAAATCTATCTATATGGCCGCAAAGAGTCAATCCTACTCAATGGCACATAATTAAAGACCCAGTTGGATTTTGATAGGATTACTTTCAAGGGATCAAAGTTGCTGACAGCGGAAATTGTCCGTTAATCAGAGAGTACTTTTAAAATGTCCTTTTACACAATATTAAAAATATGGGCGAGATTAGGTTATGCTTGTCATCTTTTTTAAATGCATGGTTCTTAAGGAGGATTAAACAAAATAACTTGCAGTCACAGCACATTAAGAAGCGAAGATCAACAGGGTGAGAGGAGCCACAGCAAAGGCATCAGAGATTGTGGCATAACATTGCCCTCATTGGGGTATTAAGACTCAACTTCCTATAATCAGCTTATGTTTTCTGAGACAAGTTCATACACGTAGAGGTTAGCTAACAATATCTCCCCCTCCCAGGCTGTGTGTACACAAGTATCAAACCTCTTTGAATACAACTCTAGCTGCAAGCACCACACGAGCAGGACTTAGTTATTTATTTGTGGATTATAATCTTAATAGTGCCATCTCTAGCTGAGTTTGCTCATTCTGTTATGCCATCATGCGCTTTCTTGTTTTAACTCAGTTCTTGGAAAAGCCTAAACTTATGGTTTGGAACAGGGATCTCTAACCTTGGCAATTTTAAGATCTGTGGACTTCAGCTCCCAGTATTCCACAGCCAGCCAAGGCTGGAGACCCCTGGTTTAGAATATAAATAGAAGACCTTTCTGTTTCAACAAGCAGGGCTAGCATAAACATCTAAATTCTATGCCAAGATCTTAGGAGATACACCAAGTTGACTCAATTTATTATTTACTGTTTATAATATATATATATATATATATATTATATGTATATGAAATCTTAATCTGTTCACCACTCTGAATCCTTCGGGAGAAGGGCGGTATAGAAATTAAATAAATAAATAAATAAATAAATAAATAAATAAATAAATAAACAGGGCTGTCAAACTCGGATACGTAACACGCTGGCCACGCCCAAGGCTGGTTTAGCGAAGGTGAAAAAAGTCCTGATACATCACGTGACGCTGGCGTGACAATGTGAGTTTGATACCTCTGGAATAGAACCAACTAATATTTGCTAGGCCATTAATAATTTTTTGTTTAACATAATGAGTGAACTTAGCCTCCTGCCCCTTAGAGCACTTCTCAGGAGAAAGGAACTGGTTTTCAGACCTGCCACAACTTAAGCCTCTAAATAGAAACGATCCTTGGCTACATATTAAGAAAGGTATAGTTTTATTAGAGGTCAAATGTATTGCAGTATTGCAAAGCCAGAACTGAGAATCACACGCAAAACTCCTACATTCTACTTCTCCCTCCCTTAATTATCTCTCATCGTTCATCCCAGTTTAACCAATCCTAGCGGTCAGTCCCACTGCTTTTTGGTTTGTAGGTCCCTCCTTTCAGCTGGGTGACCTTGAGGCAGCATTTCAGAGATACAGCATTTACTTTCGTTTTCCCCCTAGCCTCTCCCTCTTTCATTCCCCCCTCTCACAGTTCATGGCAGTCTGTCACTGCATAGCAGCGAACACAAACAAGCATAAGGTGGCAGATGACACTGGCTAAAATACCAGCTTTTCAAGAGGAGTTTTGAAAAATCACCAATGTTATGAGGTTTTTTGCCACAGTTATTAAGAGAATCACTGCAGTTATTAATTGAATCATGCAGTCTTTAAGCAAATTCAGCTTTCCCCATTGACTCTGCAATCACGTGACCCCTGCAACCGTTGTAAATACATGTTGGATGCCAAGCAACCAAATTTTGATCATGTGACCATGGGGATGCGGTGTTGGTTGTGAGTATGAGGACTGGCTGTAAGTCACATTTTTCAGGTACCGCTACAACTTTGAACGGTCACTAAATGAATGGTTGTAAGTCGAAGACTACCTGTATAGATCAATATTGATCTGAGCTTCATGCTGCAAAAGAAAATGGCTATCCTGTCAAAGAAAACCTTAATCTGAATCCAATATTTTCCAAATTCGGTTAAGGACATAAAATATATTCTGGCTGGGGGATCCTGGGAGTTGAAGTCCACACATCTGAAGACTATCTGCTGTTACCTAATGCTTGCTTGTGCTTTGCTGCTATAAGGTGATAGACTGCCGTGAACTATTAGGAAGAGGGAATTGAAAGGGGTAAGACTTGTGGGAAAGCAAAAGTAACTGCTGTGTCTCCTCGAGACATTGCTTCAAGGCCTTGAATAGTACAGTGGTCTATGCACCCTGTTATTAACACAGCTGCCTGCAATTTACTGCTGGTTCGAATCTCTCCAAAGCTCAAGGTTGACTCAGCCTTCCATCCTTTCTAAGGTAGGTAAAATGAGGACCCAGTTGGGGGCAATAAGCTGACTTTGTATAAATATACAAAAGTATGAAGGCTATTGCTTAACGCATTGTAAGCCGCCCTGAGTCTCCGGAGAAGGGCGGCATATAAATCAATTTTTTTTTTTTAAAAAAAATGGTCACCTGGCATACCAGTGGCATATCAAACTGTGCTTCGACTGATCATTATGAAAACATCTTGCCTGAACCTGGCTGGTTGCATGGGGTGGGCAATGGGAGGTAGCTAAGGGGAGGGGAAAGTTGAACTTAGGTTCTGGCTATACATTACTGCAATATACCTTTTAATAAAATTACGGGTAGTCCTTGACTTACAGCAGTTCATTTAGTGACCGTTCAAAGTTACAAAGCACTGAAAAAAGTGATTTATGACTGTTTTTCACACTCAAGGCTGTTGTAGCATCCCCATGGTCATGTGATCAAAATTCAGACACTTGGCAACTGACTCCTATTTTTTTGACGATTGCAGTGTCCCAGAGTCATGTGATCATCATTTGCGACCTTCTCACAAGCAAAGTCAATGGGGAAGCCAGATTCACTTAACAACTGTGTTATTAATGTAACAATTGCAGTATTTTGGTTAACAAATGTGGCAGAGAAAGTCGCACAATGGGGCAAAACTCACTTAACAAATTTCTCACTTAGAAACATAGATTCTGGGCTCAATTGTGGTTGTTAAGTTGAGGACTACCTGTATACCGTTTTCCACAAATGGACCCAAGGATCATTTCTATTTAGAAGTTTAGGTGGTGGCACGTCTGACAGAGCCCGAGAAACGCTGACCTAATGGAATAAATGTGAAAATTTCATCCACTGCCTTTGGAAATTCATTTTGTTCGTTTGACCATAGTTAGGACAGCTCCAAGCACTAAAAAAATTACCGGAGAAGCAAACACCAGACAGCTAGACTTTTCATGCAGATAATCCTTGACTTACAATCACAACTGAGTCCAAAATTTCTGTTGCTAAGCAAGACAGTTGTTAAGTGGGTTTTGCCCAATTTTACAACCTTTCTTGCCACGGTTAAGTGAATCATTGCAGTTGTTAAGTTAATAACATAGTTTTTAAGTGAATCTGGTTTCTCCATTGAAGAATGGTTGTCACCTGCTTGTCAGAAGGTGGCAAAAGGGAATCACATGGCCCTGGGACACAGCAATTGTCACAAATACATGCCAGTTGCCAAGCATCAGAATTTTGAACACATGATTATGGGGATCTTGCAACAGTCGTAAGTATGAAAAATGGTAATCAGTCCGCTGTACCGGTAATCAGTTCCGTACCGTTGTAACTTTTGTCACTAAACAAACAGTTGTAAGTCAAGGACTCTGTGTATTCAAATATATTTGTTTATAAAGCAAGGATATGAAAGCAACTGAATTGTTGCCTGCATACAATCCAATGCATGACTCTACTTTTTTTTTTTATTTTAATTTGATTTATATGCCGCCCTTCTCCGGAGACTCAGGGCGGCTTACAATGCGTTAAGCAATAGCCTTCATATTTTTGTATATTTATACAAAGTCAGCTTATTGCCCCCACAAACTGGGTCCTCAATTTACCTACCTTAGAAAGGATGGAAGGCTGAGTCAACCTTGAGCCTTGGAGAGATTTGAACCAGCAGTAACTGCAGGCAGCTGGTCTTAATAACAGGGTGCTTTAGACCACTGTACTACCAAGGCTCTTGCACAAGAGAACAAATGGGAAAGGAAACTTTGCTGCAGCCTGAAAGAATAATCTGCAAAGGAAAGCAGAAATTTGAATTTTCTAAAGCTGGAACTCTTTAACAGAAACAGGAGCATTAAATTGCACTGAAGGAATCCTGAGCAGCATTTGCAAAAATAATTCCAGGACTCAAAATATAATATTTCTCTTGCTTACCTAGTGACACAGAGACGAAATGGCACTGGAGTTTGGAGGGTCCTTTTTCACGTTGCAAAACTTAACTTTGCCCTCGCTCTTTGGACTCCATATTCCATACACCCCCACTGGCACAGCTACTGACCAGACGTGATGGGAACTGCTGCAACTCCAGATACGTTTGGGCAGCAAACATATTTAAGGACAGCAACTCTTTGCCCCTCTCATTACATTTCGAGGTGTTTTGGTGTCCGTTTAAACTTTAAATCTGACATTATTGCAAAACTAGGTGTTTTTTTTTAATTGGAGCCCGGAATGCGTTTACCACATGGTGATATGTATTAGTCTATTTTCATAGCTCTATAACGTCCCGAGTCCAGGCATTTCTGGTCTTAAGGCGACCCCCTTCGGCGATCTTTCCTCCCGGAAGTGTGGCAGCTCTGTGGGGCCGTTCCAGCCGCCATCCTTTCTATCATCGCTCCCGTCTCTTCGTCGGCCATGAAGTCCGTTTTCGTTACGGTCGGCACCACCAGCTTCGACGAACTCATCGCCGCCGTGACGACTCCCGAAGCGACTCAGGCGAGTCTTCCGACGCCGCCCTTCCCACTTCCCCGACGCCATCTTTTGAAAGCTTGCGCCGCGCCTCAGAACAAACCGCCGGCCGCCGAAGGGCGGAAGAAGCGAGGCTTGCGCTTTTGCGTCACTTCCTGTGCCTTTTCTAGGCGCCGCGTCTCTGTGGTCCCTGATGCATTGCAAGCTGACGTTTTTCGGCTCCTTTTTCTCGCGTGGGAAAATGCCGGTGGAGAGAGGGAGGGAAGCCGTGCAATTCTCCTCCGAGTCCTCGCTTTGCAGCAATTGGCTCGCTCGGAAGGGAGCTGCCTGAATTTGGCCAAAGAAAATAAATTCATAGGGCAGATGCAAGGCGTCCCTCTCAAAATAGAGTCCCGGTTGCATGCATGCGCGCATGCTCAATTCAATCCTAATCTTTTGTTGTCAGAGAATATATATATATATATTTAATATTTGTGTTATCTGTATTTTATCTTGGCTGTTCACCGCCTTGAGTCCTATGTTGGAGAAGGGCGGTATAGAAATTTAAACAAACAAACAAACAAACAAATAAATAAATAAATAAATATTTATTATTTATTATTTATTAATCAAATTTCTATACCGCCCTACTCCCGAAGGACTCACGGCGGTGAACAACCAAGATAAAATACAGATAATACAAATATTTAAAAAAATCCCTTAAAATTATTAAATATTTCGGCCGAAACACAGGTTAAAACACCCAATTTATAAAATCACGAATTAAAAAATTTAAAAAATGGGAGTTGGGCCAGGCCAGCTTGCTGAAATAGAAAAGTTTTGAGAGCACGGCGAAAAATATGCCTACAATGAGATTGACTGAGCCTCACTTCGTGCACTCTCCCCCCCCTCCCCATCACAATATAACTGGCAGTGAAAGACAAAGAAAGTCCCCGGCCCAGTGAATCCTACTAACAAATACCCAAATCTTATTGCATGTCATTGCTATGTTGTTGAGTGGTTCTCAACCTTCCTAATGCCGCGACCCTTTAATACAGTTCCTCATGTTGTGATGACCCCCAACCAGGGGTGGGTCTAAATTTTTTTAACTACCGATTCTGTGGGTGTGTCTTATTTTGTGGGCGTGGCTAGCTGGTCATGTGACTGGGTGGGCGTGGCTAGCTGGTCATGTGACCGGGTGGCCATGGCTATGTGTATAGGGACTACTCAGAGGGCTGAAAAAAGTCGTTTCTGACAGGTCCTCACACTTTTGACTGGTCCTCACGCTTATGACCATCCTCACATTTATGCCCGTTGCGGCATTCTTAACAACCGTGTCACTCATTTCACAACTGCTTCTTTTCACCATGGTGACAAGATAGGGCAAAAACATAAATTGTGAGGACAGTCGTAAGTTTGAGGACTGGTCAAAAGTGTGAGGACCACTCAAAAATAACTTTTTCAGCCCTCTGAGTAGTCCATATGCATAAAAGGAAACAGCAATAGAGAGGGATGAATTATTCCTAAAACCATTGAAAATATGTGTTTTCCGATGATCTTAGGCGACCCCTGTGAAAGGGTCGTTCGACCCCCAAAGGGGTCCCGACCCACAGGTTGAGAACCACTGTTGTAGAGTTATTTTTCATTCAGGAGTCTGACAGCCCACGGATAAAAACTGTTCTTCAGCCTGTTTGTGTGGCTGCCTATGCCTCTATATCTCTTTCCAAATGGTAGGAGAAGAAAAAAGGACTGACCAGGGTGTGAGTCGCCCCTGAGAATTTTCCTCACTCTTCTAAGGCAGCGAGCCCTAGCGATGTCCTCTAGTGATATCAGAGGACGGACCAGGATGTTTTGTGCTGTGCTCACCACCCTCTGTAATGTCTTTCTATCCGTAGCTGTCAAGCCAGCGGATAGTAATGCAATGAGTGATGTCGTTTTCTATTGTGGACCTGTTGGAAGAAACATCCTTCTAGGTTCTGCTCCAAGTGGGGAAAAAGACACTGGAAACATGGAGACTGCTTGGAAAGATGGTTTAATGGTGAACAGGATCACATGGCTTGAGTTCCTGAACAGAAAAGGGGCAGATACAGTAAATCCTCGGGTTTTTATGCTCTCTCTGGCTCTGCATTTCTTGGGGCCCCGAAAGAGTATCCTGATTGGTTGTCAGACTTCCAGGGGGTGGGGGCCTTGCTGGCTGATGGTCACATGTGCTTCCCAGGTCACATGTGGTGAGTTTCTGCTGCTATTGTGTAGAGGGCTAATCCTATCTTTGTTGGATCTTTGGCAATTCCTACTATGGCTCTGCCTGAAGGAGGCAGATCTTTGTTATGTAGAATAGACTGGCCCATTGACAAAGGGTGGGGGCAGGAAGGTGGGAGCTGCTTCAAAACATGCTTATCCCAGGGAAATATAATATTCTGCCTTTTTCATATTTCCTAAAATATTTCACTCTTCCAGGAAAGGGGTGGGTGCTAACTTCCTACAGACCGATAAAAGGAAGTCATCAGTTGTTGTTCCACTTTATTTTTCTGCAAGACCCTAAGGAAGTGGAACCTCTGTGGGGCCTTTGTGGTCACCTGGGTCGTGTTGATTTTCCAGGTGAGATCTTCGCTCAGATAAACTCCCAGGAATTTAAAGGAGGTAAACTCTCTCCACACAGCCCCCCTCGATGTAAAGTGGGGCAGGTTCCTCTCTCTTCCGGAAGTCACTTATTTCCTTTGTTTTGCTGATGTTCAGGTGCAGGTTGTTTTGTAAGCACCATGTGGATAGTTTTTGAACCTCCCCCTTGTACGCTGTTTCGTCTCCACCTGTAATAAGACCCAATACAGTAGTATCATCTGCGAACTTAATGATCACACTGGATGGGTCAGACGATACGCAATCATGTGTACAGTGAATATAGGTAGTGTTGTGGCTCCGATCCCTGAGCCCATCTTATTGGAGGAAGAAGGCTCCGAACATGAAGGAGAGGAGCCAGCCAGGCCTCCCTCTCCAGGCCCCTCCTCTCTGGCTATGCCTCAGGTGTCTGCCGAGGGAGAGGAGATTGATCAGGAGCCAGGTGTCTCCGATTGCAGCGATGACGGTGATACGTCGTTCCTGGATTCACGCCAACGAAGGCGAGATAAACGTTTGCAGCAGATGAGGAGGCATGCCAGGGATTAATCTGAGTCACTGGACCACACCCCACAGGCTATATAAGAGAGTGTGGTGGCCATTTAGACTCTGTGACGGACAAAGCTAACTTCTGGCTAGTCACCTTGTGTAACGCCTGAATCTGCTGAAGGTTTCTGTTTGAGCTGGACTGTTTTGAAAACTGTGTGTATTCGTTGGTGTTATCTGGTGGAGGAACACTCCCTCTTCTTGTAGTAAAGCACTTGGCAGACGGTTATCGTATTGCTGCCAAGTTCCTGATAACGAACCTGGTGTGTGCCGAGTAATTCTTTAACCCCTGGCTGGCTGTTTGTGTGTGTGTGGGGACGGGGACAGAACAGATAGGGACTGAGCACACAGCCCTGTGGGGAGCCAGTGCTGAGCTTCAGGGGGTGGATATGACAGACCCAACCATCACTGTTTGTGGCCAGTCCCTCAGAAAATCTTTGATCCAGTCACAGAATGAAGAGGGAAAATCCAAGTCAGTCAACTTTAGAGAAAAGCTTATAGAAAGGATGCTTGGCAGAATGGTATTGAAGGCCAAGCTATAATATATGAAAAGCATCCTGACATAGTTACCGGGTTTCTCCAGATGGCTCACTACAGAATGTAAAGCAGTAGCTATGGCATTATCTGTTGATCTATTCCCTCTGTAGGCAAACTGAAGTTTATCAAAGTCCAGTGGGAGGCATGTCCTAAGGTGTTGGAGAACCAATCTCTCGAAGCATTTCATCACTACAGACGTTAGTGCGATAGGTCTGTAGTCATTTAGGCAGTTAATTGCTGTTTTCTTCGGGACTGGGACAATAGTGGCTGCTTTCAAGCATGATGGAACATTGGCCGTTTGCAGGGAGATGATCCTTGTCAGGACCCCTGATAATTAGTCGGCACAGGTCTTTACCACTATCCCCAGCACCCCATCTGGACCTGCAGCTTTGCTGGGATTCACAGTCTTCAATACAGCTTTTACTTGGTGTTCGTATAGGGTAAGTGGTTGGGAAGCAGAAGGCTGGTGGGCAGAGGCTACGGGGTCTGGTCTTTTCACCTCGTAGCGGGCAAAGAAGGTGTTCAGCTCCTCTACCAACGAGGCATCAGCATTGACCATGTTTAAATTAGTTAGGTGCTGCAGTCCCTGCCACACTTGCTTTGGGTTGTTGTCTGCTAGATGGTTCTCCACCTTATGTTTGCATTGTTGTTTTGCCATCTTAATGCCTCTTCTGAGGTTTGCTCTGACCTCTATATCTCTCACTGTCCCCTGCCTTAAAGGCAGAATCCCGGGCTGTCAGAAGCATCCGTACCTTGGCAGGCATCCAGGGTTTACAATCCCCGTAGACTCTGGTGCACCTGTCTGCTGTTACACTATCAGTGCACACTTTGAAGTAAGAGAGTACAGCATCAGTGTATTCATGCAGATCTTGATGTTCAAATACACTCCATTCAGTGGTTTCAAAACAGTTCTGCAGCTGACTGAGAGCACCCTCTGGCCAGGTTTTAACCACATGGTTTGAGGTCCTGGGCAAAAAGAGCACATGGAGTGGAGAGAGGGATATATTTATACACTCTCTTGGGCCCTGCCTTAGAATTTCTTGTTCCTGTACAAGAAATGTATCCCATTGCCTGTCAGACTCCCAGGGGGCTGGGGTCTTAGCTAACTTTGTAGGCTGTAGGGTAACTTGAGTCCCAGGCCTGGTTGAATCTTGCTGGGTGATGATGTAATGAAAGGGCTTTGGTCAATTCCTATTATGGTTTAATGGCTTTGTCCTGGTTTGGATCTTGAGTGAGGGCTAATCCTATCATGTCCTGAGGGCCATGTCTTTTGTGTTGTAGATAAGCTGGCCCAGCCTTTTGTCTTGTAAATAACCAAAGTATCTGCTAGGGGCAGGGAGCTGGGGCTGAGTTTCTGTCTTAAGATTTCTATTTCTCTTTTTAGGGGAAATATTCTGCCTTTTTAATATTTCCTAGAATATTTCATTTTTCTAGGAGAGGGGTGGGTGCGAACTTCCTACAGGACAATGAGCAGTGTAATAGCAGGGTGAGGGTAACAGCCATATAAATAAAAATCAAACTAGTTGAAAGTTGAAACAAACAGAGATAGTTGAAAGAATATCAGTAGCACTTACATTTATATACCACCCCATAGATGAAGATGTACACAGCCAAAACTGAATCCCAATGTGGACATAAATGCACAATCAAAAGTGGGTTTCAATACGTGCATGCATGTTCAAAAGTGAATCAGTGCAGACAGTGGTGACTCAGAGCAGTTTATAAATTATAATTTATAAACAAGATTATAAAACAAGTAAAATAGTTAAAATATTAAAACCTTAATGCTCAAAAGTGAATCCCGGTATGTGCATGATCAGAAGTGAGTCCCAAGGCAGACATGCACAATCAAAAGTGAGTCCCATTGTGGATGTACTCACTGAAAAGCGAGCCCTGGTGCATGCATGGTCAAAAGTGAGTCTGTGCACAATCAAAAGTGAGCATTCATGCATGCCTATTCAAAAATGCCTCCTTTCAAGCCTGATTAAACATTGCATCTATGGTCTGTTAATTGCCCCGCTAGCACCAGCTAGATTGACAGTTCTTGCTGGCTGGGGAATTCTGGGAGTTGAAGTCCACATAGTTTAAAGTTGACAAGGTTGAGAAACACTGGATTAAAGAATAGGCTGACTCAAAACTTTAATCTCTGGTGATATCCTTTTACCAATGTTATTAAAGATCATCAGGATAAGATTCCTCAGGATGATTCCATACTTGGATTTAATCCTAAATTTCTGTACTATGACCATGTTTGTTGATTATCTCAGTAAAATTTAAAGGATGCCATCTATATGCTTTGCAACTGCTTCTCATGTAAATGCGGATGGCATGCTGCAATGGAGTACAGAGCTGCATGCACTTCGTCAGAGCTTAATCCCACAAAGAGATGACAGCTGTATTTGCTGGTTTTCTACCTCCTGTCATTGATGCTCACAGTCAAGCTGTGTACAATATTAGAATGCATTGTGTAAAATTGAAAGTGGGATACAAATTATGAAATAGTTAAAATGCATAATCCAGCAGCTATGAGTTAGTTTTAGTTTTAGTACATGCCATAAAATTTATCCCTAATAATTTTAACCATGTAATACCAGCAGTAAAATCCTTTTGTGGAAATCTGACTCCTGATAAAATGCATGATTGCCTTACCTGGGTTTTGCAGAATATTCATAGGAGTCAGGGTATTCACAGAATGTGATAAAAAAAAATCAAAATGGCATTTGCAACTGTGCAATCAAAGAGCCACCTGTCCTCAAGTAGAGTTTTGCTTGCCAGTTTCCTTGCAAGATGGAGCCACTATCTTGACTATTTGGACCACGTGCTGCAGACATGTGGTCTGTGACCACATCTCCATGGACATGTGGTTGATGAGTATAGTTTGACAGTTTGGTCTTCAATACACTTACTCAGAAACAATCTTTGCAGACTTCCATAGCTCTTATATAATCTTATTTTACATAATCTATTTTATAAGCCAATTGAACTATTGTATCAAATAATTAGGTATTTAGGATTGCAATGTCCTTATTTATTCTCTTCTGAAAATTCTACAGCTTTTTAAAATGACTCAGTCTACAATTCACATTCCACATTGGTGGCTAAAAGGCGATGCTTTGTCTCTGATTTAAGTGCACGCCTGCTGAGTTGATTGACAGCAAGGAAAGCAGGTGGCCAACCCATCATGCCATTTTAGATCATTTGGTAGAGCACTGCGTTGCTTTTAGGTACGATGAGAATGAGTGGGTGTGCAGCATAGCCATTATCCCTCTTTCAATCTACAGTTGCCATTACTGGCTATTGGTTATACTGAGAGCAGCTGGTGGAAATTATCATCTAACACAGTGGTCAAAGTGATCCACAAGAAAATTTTGGTGGTCCGCAGCGCACCTGGGTGGAAGAGCTGCTCCGAGATGAGCAATGGCTAGTCCTGTGACTAGAGCTCTGGAATATGGGACTGGCCAGGCAGCTCATGGTGGGGCTGTAAAACTCCGCCATAGATGGAGGTTCGTACAACTTGCAACTTTGCAGCGCAGCCCTTGCCGGCCGGAATGAGGTAATGGTGCAAGAAGGGGTGGCGGTGCAGGCAGGCCGAAGCAACGGGTGGCGGCAACCCCAGGCTGTTTCTTCCCGCTGCTGTAGATTCCTGTCGGCTGAACCCACCAGGGGCTGTTCTGCCCCAGCTACGGATCCCAAAGAACACAGCACACACAAACTCTGAACAAAACTTAGCTTACTCAAATAACACAGTTTTAGCAAATACCGGCTGTTAATAAGGGTTCTTAACAGCCTGCCAGAATTCCACAGATAAGATAGAATCTTACTGAAGTTGGCAGAAAGCCCAGAAGCAAGGTTGCAGAGAAATCCCAATGTGATGATTAGCGAACTAAAGTTGTTTCCTGCAGCTTGTTGCAAGCTGCGTTCGTTCTTAAGTAGGCTAAGGGAGTGGCCAATTAGCCCCAAGCCTTACCCTCGAGGAGACCTCCTCCTGAGGAACCACTCCTGCCTTCTGACAGCTCTGCGTGTCCGTGCATTGAGAAGAGGCTCCTCCTCTTCCTCCTCTTCACTTAAAGGAGCCTCTGGAGGTTCTGAAGGCCCTGACTGAATCCCTGCCTCTGGCACCACATCTTCTTCAGCCTCCTCGCTGTCTGACTCGAGCGCCAGCTGCACGGGCCGATGGCGCAGCACCACACCAGCCTCCTCATTGTCGGGATCAGCAACAATCCACGCAGGCCGCTGGCGGGCCACAACAGTCCCCGCTTTGCTCTCCCTTCCCAGTCACTTCTCGCCTGGCCTGAGAAGGGAAGGGCGGGGGATGGAGATTTGCTCTATATTCCAGAGCAGGAGTGAAGCTTCTTCTCTTGCTGGATCTCACGACCCTTTCTTCCAGTCCTTGTTGGTTCTCTGCGTGCCTCGGTCTCTCGGGGAGATACTTGACTTCCTCTCAGCCCCAAGACACTGGCTGGCCCATGAGATGAGAGAGAGAATGAGAGAGAGAGAGAGAGAGAGAGGGAGAGAGAGAGAGGATGAGAAAGAGAAAGAGGGGAAGAGAGAAAGAGATGAGAGAGAAAGAGGGGGAAGAAAGATGAGAGAGAGAGGGGAGAGAATGAGAGAATGAAAGAATGAGAGAAAGTGGAAGAGAGATGAGGGAGAGGGGGGAGGGAGGGAGAGAATGAGATAGAAAAAGTTTGAGGGGGAGAGAGAAAGAATGAGAGAGAATGAAAGAGTGAGAGAGAGAAAGAGAGGGAGAGATGAGAAAGGGAGAGAGAGAGAAGGAGAGAAGAAGAGGGGGAGAGAGAACAAGAGAGAATGAGAATTAAAGAGGGTGAGAGAGAATGAGAGAAAGTGGAAGAGAGATGAGGAAGAGGGTGAGAGAGAAAGAGATGAGAGAGAGAAAGGGGGCAGATGAGAGAGAGAAAGAATCAGAATGAGAGAGAATCAGAATGAGGCAGAGAGAGAGAATGAAAGAGAGAGAAAGAGACAGAATGAAAGAGAATGAGAGAGAGAATCAGAATCAGAATGAGAGAGAAAGAGAGAATGAAAGAGAGAAAGAGACAATGAAAGAGAGAGAGAATGAGAGAGAGAATGAGAGAGAATCAGAATGAGAGAGAATGAGAGAGAGAAAAAGACAGAGAATGAGAGAGAGAGAATGAGAGAGTGAGAGAATCAGAATGGGAGAGAGAAAGAGAGAGGGGAGAGAGAGAGAGAAAGAGAGAGGAGGGAGAGTGCCTGAAGGATCCCATCCTGTCACTGGGAGACCAGGCGCTTCAGCAAGCGGTGCACTGGATTCGTATTAGTGGTCCGTGGGATTTAAAATTATGAACTTGGTGGGTCCAAAAGATTGGGGACCCCTGGTCTAACATATTTGGAGGAAACAGTTTGCTGTAATGCTTAGAACACCAGGCTGGAAACTGGACGACTCTGAGTTGTAATCCTGCCTTAGGCATGAAGCCTAAGGGTGACCTTGGGCCAGTTCCTATTTCTCAGCCCTGGGAAGGTGGAAATGCCAAAACTAAACCATGCCAGGAAAACTGCAGGGACTCATCCAGTCAGTCTCCAAGAGTCAACACTGCTTTGAAGGCATCAAAAAGAAAGGCCTCCCCCCGAAGCAATAATGTATTAGTAATAATTCTTTTCTTACAAAAGGATACAGAAGCACAGTTGTAAATAGTAAGTCATGTATATTTTCTCATCTTGGAGAGAGAAATAAATTCACCTTTGTAGCTTCTAATGAGTTTATTTTTAACCTCAGTGAGGATATATGTTTCTTTCTGATGCAGGCTTTACAGGACCTTGGCTGTTGCAAGCTGGTCGTTCAGGTTGGCCGAGGCAAAGAATGTCCAGATTCATTTAGCACAGCCACATTTACTCTGGAAGTGTTCAGATTCAAGAGTTCACTTTCTGAAGATGTTAAAAAAGCAGATCTGGTCATAAGCCACGCAGGTAAAGCATCTCAGTACAAACACCCGGTCTCTTGTAGCCAACCTTTGCTCACCCCATCGAAAAGAACAAAAACAATGTAGGAGGATAAGTTGTCTTTATACGGGGAAAAGTGGATCATTTATTTACATCCTTTATTTATGTAAAGAGTACTGCCCCCTGGAAACAAATATGAAGGTTGATTTAAAAGAGAAATGTCTTATGTTCAAGGGAGATACAGCTATAGAGATTTTATTGTATTTATGGTCAGTGAGCAGTTATAAACAGGTCATGAAACAGTCATGAGGGGCTGCCACAAGAGGAAGGAGTCAAGCTATTTTCCAAGGCACCCAAAGGGCAGACAAGGAATAATGGCTGGAAACTGATTAAGGAGAGATTCAACCTAGAAATAAGGAGAAATTTTCTGACAGTGAGAACAATCAACCAGTGGAACAGAAGTTGCCTTCAGAAGTTGTGGGAGCTTCATCACTGGAGGCTTTCAAGAAGAGATTGGACTGCCATTTGTCAGAAATGGTATAGAGTCTCCTGCTTAGGCACAGGAGGTGGGGTTGGAGTAGATGACCTACAAGGTCCCTTCCAACTCTGTTAATCTGTTAATTCTATATGTTTGCAACCTGAAATGTCATTTATATGTAAAATAAAGCCCAAACAAATTCTAATTTTTTAAGAAAGGAGTCTATTTCTTCTGTAGCATTAGCCAAGCAAGGTATAGTCTGAGATATGGATTTGTACATTTTTTATGCAAAACCAACTGTATATAATATACACACACACACACACACACACATATATATATATATATATATATATATATATATATATATATATATATATATATATACACACACACACACTATAGTATATATAGGTAGAAGCAATGTCAAATTTGTGCATGTTTATTTGCTAGATTTATATTCCACCTGTAATTTTGCACAATTCAAGATCCCTCCTCCTCCTCACTCTAACTGTGAGGTAGGTTTGGCAGAGAGAGAGTAACTGGCCCAAAGACACCCAGCTAGCTTTCACACCTAAGGAGGGACTAGAACTCAGAATCTCCTGGTTTCTAGCCTGTCCCTAAGGCAGCACTAGACAAAACTGGCTGTCACTGTTCATAAAAATATTTTCCCTATTTCTTTTAACACAAACATTGAAACGTAGGTGCTATCTGGAGCATCTGCTTACTCATTACAAAACCCTATCCATCAGCATTTATAAAATGCCCAAAAGTCAGTTGGTGAATAATATATTAGTTTCCCTTAAAAGAATGAAACCATTTTAGAACCCTGATTCACTTGTAATTATTAATTGACATGTTCCAAAACATAGCTGAGACTAAAACAAAGAAGTGAACAGGACCAGAATAAAACGAAAGCATGCTTTGATTTAATACTGTAAATAAGGCATTCCATGACTATTGAATAATTTTACCCTTCTGTGACATGAAATGCAACAGTTAGAAAGCAAAAGAGTTTCTTTATTGATTTGATTTACTGAATCAGAGAGAGAGGAAAAAGAAGAAGAAAGAAAGAGAAAGAAAGAAAGAAAGAATATTCACATCCCAAGACTTTTGTGGGTAGATGGGGTGCTCAGCTCAAACACCTCTGATTTATATTCTACACTTTCTCTTCAACTCATAAAAGAATCAATTTGGCGATGGGCAAGGGAGCCTTATTTAATCCAATTTCTTATTATCCATTTTATTCCATCAACCCATTTTTGCTGAATGGCTGCTGCTATGTCAAGTAGAATGATCTGGTTCTGGTGCTTTTGCTACAGGAGCAGGCAGCTGTTTGGAAGTTTTGGAAGCTGGGAAGCCTCTCCTGGTTGTAATCAATGACAAACTTATGGACAACCATCAATTGGAATTGGCCAGGCAGCTGCACAAAGATGGACATCTCTTTTACTGCACAAGCAGGTATGGATTTTCCTAACATCCTTGGTTGCCGTGCAGATGTTCTTGGCTCTTAAGTCAAAAAATGTAGGAGTAAAACAGTTGCTTTTTGTGTTTTTAATTTCATTGTTGCTGAGGATGGTCCTTTAGTTATCTTAAGTTCTGAATTAAGCAAAATAGATAGCTCTTGTTTGTGCTATTGGGGTAATTCCTTTATTTTTTTTATTTCCTTTAGATATTTTATCTACTCAGTAATTTATCCAACCAGTAATACAATAAATTCCTTTGTCCTGAACCCTATTATAAAGAACCAGAGCAGTACATGAACTCTTAATCTTAACTTTAGTCAGGATATAAATATTCTATTGTTTAGTCAGTCACAGCTTATCATGAAGTGTATTTCCTAACTAAACTGGTAAAGTGATGCTCTGATATTTTCTCATTCATTTTGTTCAGCTTTTGGGGAAAAAACAGTTTTCAATTTTGTCTATATCTGTCACCCAGCATTTTTGAGCTATAAGTGCTGAGTCAAATTTGCCAACTTCTTGTAGTCTTTTGTCTATTAGCTGGGAGCTGTCCATGGTACCCACAGGGTACCCCACAGGGACCATTCTCTGGACTTTCTTTGATATCTGCCCTCTTGTGGGCACATCTCCCTGTTCATTTGGAATGAATGTTCTGCTTGCTGATCATCACACAGAAGATTTCATGAAGATCTCATCTGCTTTTTGAACTGCTACAAGTAAATGGCTGGAAAGGAAGGTTCAAAGAGATCCAGATGATTTCTTTCAACTTAACTGCCAATTTGGTTTGAAGTGATGCCAAGTCCTCTGTGCCATGGTGTGAGGGCCAAAGGTGGCAAAGCTGAAGATAAAAAGCCTGGGACTACCTTTTTATCTTTTTTAGGAAAAATAGCATCGATTAAAATGAACGTGCTACCACAATTACTATTCTTATTCCAAGTAGTTCCCATAAAATTAGGAAAAAACTTTTTTAAAGATCTAAATAAATTAATAGCGAACTATATTTGGCAGGGAAAAAAATCAAGAATCAAAATACAATCACTGCAAGATAGTAGAGAAAGAGGAGGATTTGGACTACAAGATTGGGAAATCTACTATAAAGCAACATCACTTATATGGATCAAAGACTGGATGGAATTATGAAATAAAAGAATTTTAACATTAGAGGGATATGATTTACAGAGAGGGTGGCACGCCTTTTTATGGGAAGGAAAAAATAGACAGCATAACTATTTTCAACAACAATCAGAGATGCACTACTACAAACATGGCAAGGGATAAAAAAAGAATCATTATGACAAAATTCCAGAATGGTTAACCACAATGCATTAGGCATTGACAAAATGAAAAGATATAAAGATTTGTTAAATAGTCAAGGGGAATTGAAAACAAGGCAGGAATTAAAAGAACAGGGTACAGACATTGATTGGTGGCCTTACATGCAAATAAAATCTAGATATAAGACAGATTTGACACAATATGGATTCCAAAGAGAAGTACACGAATTAGACAAAATCCTCCAAGGCACAGAAGATAAATTGATCAAAAAAATTTACAATTATCTATTAAGATACAAATTGGAAGAGGAAGTAGTTAAGGAAAATATGATAATTTGGGTAAAAAATTTTATATATAACATTGAATTAGATAAATGGGAGAAATTATGAAACAAAAATTATAAACTGACAATGTCTGTAATACTATAAAGAAAATATGTATAAAATGTTTTACAGGTGGCACTTGCCACCAGCCAGATTGGCAAAGATGTTTCCCAATACCTTACCAACGTGTTGGAAATGCAAACAGCAAAAGGAAACGTATTACCACATGTGGTGGTCCTGCCATAAAGCGAAACATTACTGGAGTAGAATTAGATCACAATTAGAAGAAATAACCAAACAACAGATAGAGATGAGGCCAGAAACATTTTTACTAGGAATACTCCCAGGGTCATAGGAAAAAGAAATACAATATTTAATTATCCATATTATCGCAGCAGCAAGAATAATCTACACTCAGAATTGTAAAAATAATAATATACCATCCGAACATAATTTGATCAGAAAAGTTTTGGAATGTGCGGAGATGGAGAAATTAACAAAGGAGATACAAGAAAAAGAGGAAACAGAATATTACTTAGTGTGGGAGAAATGGTATGAATGGCTGGAGGAGAGAGATAAAAGGCAAGGAAAAATTAAATAAGGGTCGAAGTAGGAGTAAAAGTATAATAGCAAATATGAGGAAACAAAAATTGTAGAAATGAAATTGTGTACACGGGTATTTATATGTATATATGTAAATAAATAAATAAATATTAGAAGTATATGTACAAAAGATATTGTAGAATAAGGGAGAAAAAAATGTATAAGTAAGAAATTCTTGACTGATGCAAAACTGTTGAAAAGGAAAAAGTGTTAAAGCTTTCTTTTTGTTTTTAAAAAATGTTTAATAAAAAATATTTTAAAAAAAAGCCTAGGATTACATTAGATCATTATCAAAGCATGTGGCAAGCAGCCTCAACACCCAAATCAGAGAAATGAGCAAGATGTTTGTTATCACATCAACGGTGGAAGAAATAGAGGTTTGGTTTAAACCTTGGGGCTGTTACATATACTGTAGATGGCTTGATTTGTAGTTTCTGCTGTAACTGAGAAATTATCAGCGCTTCATTGTATAAGTAGTTCTTGACCACAATTGGTATCAGAATTTCCATTACTAACCAAGGCAGTTGTTAAGTAAGTTGTGCCCAATTCTGTGACTTTTTTGTCACAGTTGTTAAGTGAATCACTGCAATTGTTAAGTGAATCATGCAATTGTTAAGTGAAACCAGCTTCCCCAATTGACTTTGCTTGTCAGAAGCTGACTGGGAAGATTTCAAATCGCAATCAGATGACTGCAGGACATTGCAACCATAGTAAATAGATTGCGATTGCTAAGCACCTGAATTTTGATCATGTGACCATGGGGATGCTGAAATAGAAGTGCAAGGACCAGTCGTAAATCACTTTTTTCAGTGTAACTCTGAACAGTCACTAAATGAATGGTTGTAGGTTGAAGACTGTAATAAAAACAACTTATCCTTGCAATAAGCCTGAATTAATTTGTTATTTATATATAAAATGTATAGGCTTGCCTACCTTACCTCAATTTTAGAGATAGATGTATTCCATGCTCTGTTTGAAGCTCTGGCACATGTTAATGCTGACATTGTTAACAAAAGTGCAGGAGTGGTGCTGATCTCAGAATGAACAGATTCATCTAATGGGCAATGAGCAGTGTAATAGCAGGGTGAGGGTAATATATCAACAGCCATATAAATAGAAATTAAGCTAGTTGAAAGTTGAAACAGAGATAGTTGAAAGAATAGCAGTAGCACTTACATTTACCCTGTTTCCCCCAAAATAAGACATCCCCTGATAATAAGCCCAATCGGGCTTTTGCGTGCATGGCAATAAGGCCAAACGCTTATTTCAGGGTTCAAAATTACAAGACAGAGTCTTATTTTCGGGGAAATATGGTATATACCACCCCATAGCTCTTTCCCTCTTCAAGCAGTTTACAGAGTCAGCATATTGCCCACAAAAATCTGGATCCTCATTTTACCAACCTCGAAAGGATGGAAGGCTGAGTCAATCTTGAGCTCTGTCAGGATCAAACTCCAAGATGTGGGCAGAGTTTACCTGCAAATTCAGATAGTCCTTGGCTTATGACCACAATGGGACCCAAAATTTCTGCTGTTAAGTGAGACATTTGTTCAGTGAGTTTTGCCCCATTTTACAACTTTTCTTGCCACAGTTTTTAAGTGAATCACTGCAATTGATAAGTTAACCTGGATGTTAGTGAATCTGACTTCCCCATTGACATTGCTTGTCAAAAGGTTGCAAAAGATGATCACATGATGGTTGCACTGTCACTGAGACAGTGCAATCGTCATGAGTTGCCAAGCATCTGAATTTTGATCACATGATCATGGGATGCTACAAAGGTTATAATTATGAAAAACAATCATAAGTCACATTTTTCAGTGTCGTAAGTTTGAATGGTCATTAAATTAACTGTAAGTGAAGGACTACTGTATTCTAACCACCATGCTATTAGGGCTCAGAAGAAGAATTGGTAGGAATGCTGCCATCATGGTGAAGTGAATGGGGTTTGAAGAAGCAGTACACTTAAGAGAAATAAGAGTTAGAATTGATTTAAAATTGACGATCATTTGTGCATTTCTCAGACATGCTATAGTATGTCTTAAATGGAAAGCAAAAAAAGAGGGACCACTGATCATTGGAACTGGGTTTGTATAACATGCTAGGCTAAAATGAGGCTGGATAATTTGCGCTTCAGCACAGTCCTGGTCTCAGTGTGTTATGTTACCTAGGCTGTCACATTAGACCAGCATGTGACTTTTTCATTTATGTGAACACTTGAGTTTTTGAATGTAATTGATAATGTCTTAACTGTATTTGGTGCACTATTTTAAAATCATGTGGAGAATATAAAGTGTGCATTGTTTTAAAATAATTCTAAAATGCATAAGGAACAGTCTTCATATGCTACACTCTATGAATGGAAAATTTTGATGAATCAGATATCTGCATGTAGACGCATGGTGTAAAGTACTATTTCTATTGAAGCTGATGAGGCAGGAACCAAGGATTCTGAAACCAGGCAGAACTGATATGTAAACATGGAGCAAGAGCATTTGGCTTTCAGGACTGCAAGAAGGAATCCAAAAGTGCAATGTCTTGAAAAACAAGGAGAAAAGGCCTGGAAATTGAATGCTAGAGGGTAATTCATGAAGAGATTGATTCCTGGCTTTCTTGTATATACTTTTCTTTTCTACAATAAATCAGCTTATCTTTTCACAGTGAATCTGTGAAATGTTGGTTATGTGGGGCTGAGTTCCTGGAGACCTGAGATTTCTTTCTATAGCTGGTGTGAAGTCTTAGAGTTTCAAGTTGACCACATAGTCCAAGACTATAGGAAAACCAAGATACAGATGTGAGAAAACAAGTATTTCATGGTAATTTTGATAGATTATGATTTCCCCTTTTTCACAGGACTCTTGTGGAGATGCTCAAATCAATGGACTTGTCTACTCTGAAGCCATTTCTTCCTGGACAACCAGAAAAATTTGCTGCATTCTTGGACAGTGTGATTGGCAGTTAACTATGTGGATTATAACAAGAGAGCTGCCGTAGCTGAAATTGCCATAAGATCTACGCAAGTTTATAATAGTATTTGTCACCTCCAATGAAATTAAGAATTAAAGCATTCATTCAACAGGGTCAGTTTTTGTATGAAACCAGTTGATGTTTTTATACAGCATCTTGTAAACCTCAAATGGAGACGAGAATATACCTTGCCTGTCATATAAGGCAAAGAAGCCCTTGTCTTGGTTGACAGTGGACAAAGTGCCAGAACCAATCTGTGTTATGGTATTTATGTTATGTAAACTCAGTCTCATTCAATAAACCATGATTAAGCAGGATGCTTTCCCACAGTATATGAACCAAACATATGATTTTTGAATTAGGCAATCATGGCTTGTTCAGTAAACCATAATGATCAATTTAACGTTTCCTTTTTAAAGGTATCAATTTAATGTGAATAGCCAAGAGTTTCCCATGCTATTTAAATGTCTAAATCCTGACATCATTATGCATAAAAATATATAAATTCTGTGCAATCTATAAAGCTTTCTCTTGTTAAATATGTGTATAATTCTTCAGTCTGTTCACATTTTCACAATTTGATTTGGATCTTTTTTTCTTGGAGACCATTAGCCCCACTCTGTGGTTGGATCTAAATACATAAGATCCTCTGAGCAAGTCATTTTGCTTGGTCAGTTAGTTGGACAATTGGTCAGATTTGAAATCATCTGTTCCCTCTCAGAAATGGAGAACCTCTTTTAATTGCCTGCACTTAAAGATCTCAGGGCCCCATGGTGGAACAACCAGTAGTAGAATCACTTGATTCCCCAATTCCTTATTTTGTGTCTTTTCCTCCAGTTTTATTCAGCTATTTCTTTTTCCTTACACTTCTGGGACTCTCACAGGTAATTATAGTTAGGTTAAATCACTTAACTCAACTTGCCCCAAGTTCAAACCTTAGACTGCATGCTGTTGCATTTTATTCAAGGGAAAAAATTCATGATAACTTCAGCGTGGCGGACCAGCAAGGAATATAAATCCTTCAATTCCATGCCATCCAGAAGAAGCTTCTTGGATGAGAAGCAAAATGTCTTCAAAGAAAAAGCAAGAAAGTCCAGTCGCCTCTTGAAAACCAGGACCTGGATGACTAAAAATTTCCATAGACCCTGTCTGATTTTTTTTTTTTTTTTTTATTGCAAAAGTTTTACAATTACATTTTCACCCCTTTTTTCACCCCCCCACCTCCCTCCCCAAACTTCCCGTCCTCCCTAACCCTCCCTAACCCTCCCCCCCCAGACTTCCCTATTATGTACTCATAACTAATAACACTGATATATATACCTGAACCCATCCCTCCCCCTATATAATTTTCCCTCTTTGTCTCTTTATATTAAAATATTTCTAATACATTGTTTTCAAATAAAAGCTATTTGATACTTTCTAATTTGGTATTTATTCTGAACATATTCTATCCACCTTTTCCATTCCCATTCATAAGTCTCTTGTGAACAATCTTTTAAATATGCTGAAATCTTCGCCATCTCTGCAAAACTGGCCATCTTCGAAGTCCATTCCTCGATAGTAGGCAAAGCTTCATTCTTCCAATATTTACCTATCAACAATCTTGCTGCTGTTAACATATACAATATTAATTTTGTTTCATCCCGTGTAAAACCCTTAACTATGCCCAATAAAAACAATTGTGGAGAAAATTGAATTTTTTTCTTCAAAACATTCTGCATGACCCACCATATTTTTATCCAAAAAGCCTTAACTTTCCTACAGGTCCACCAAACATGTAATACGTAGCATCCAAACATTCACATCTCCAACATTTTGGCTGAACATTAGGGTACATACAAGACAACTTTTTAGGATCTAAATGCCATCTATAAAACATTTTATAAAAATTTTCCCTCAGATTCTGCGACTGTGTAAATTTAACATTCTGAACCCAAATTTTTTCCCATGTTTCCAACATCACTGGTTCTTCAAAATTTTGTGCCCACTTAATCATGCAATCTTTAACTAATTCCGTTTCTGAATCCCTTTCTAGCAAAACATTATAAAGCCTTTTAATATGCATTGGACCTTTCTCTCTTATATGTCTAACCAATTCTTCCTCATGCAACATAATACCAGTTTTTTGGTCCTCTTTCCATCTCAATTGTAATTGATTATATTGTAACCAGGTTAAATTAATCCCTTCATCCAACAGTGTCTGCAATGTCTTCAGCTGCCATCTGCCCGCATCTGTAAAAAGAACCTCTTTGTATAAAAACCCCCCGAGTGACATTATATTTGTATTCCACAAGGTATGACCAAGATCCAGCCATAGCGGTATTTTATAATCCCATTTGAGTCGGTGCTTCTTCCAAACTCTCATCAAAGAGTCTCTAAGTATATGACTTTTAAATACTTTATCAACTTTGTCATCATAAAATAGGTAAGCATGCCATCCAAATTCAAGATCAAAACTTTCTGCATTCAATATTCCAGCCTTTTTACCCCCAAACCAATCACTTGTTAAAGTTAAAGCTGCTGCATCATAATATAACTGTAGGTTTGGAAGTTTAAGGCCTCCTCTTTCTGGAACATCTTGCATAATTTTCAATTTCACTCTCGGCTTTTTCTCGTTCCAGACGAACTTATTAAGTCCAGTTTGCCAAACTTTCAGTTGTTTATCACTTTTAAGCACCGGAATCATTTGAAACAAAAACAGAAATCTTGGCAACATGTTCATCTTAACTGCTGCTATTCTTCCAAGTAAAGACAGTTGCAGCTTTTTCCAAGTCTCCATATCTTTCTGAACCTCTCGCCACAACACCTCATAGTTATTTTGAAACAATTTCATATTTGATTCTGCAACCTGAACTCCAAGATATTTTACCTTAGGTACAATTTCAAAACCTGCCCTCCTTTCAAGCTCATGTTTACGATCTTGTGTCATATTTTTGACTATCATTTTAGTCTTTTTTGAATTCAGTCTAAAACCTGAAACTCTACCATAATCTTGTATAATGTCATTCATCAGGATTGTTGATTCCATTGGTTGTGATAGGGTAACCACCAGATCATCTGCAAATGCCTTTATTCTATAATCCTCTTGCCTTATCATTATACCTTTCAAAATTTTTGAGTCCCGTATTGTATTTAGCAAGACTTCCAATGTTAAGATAAATAAAAGTGGGGACAACGGACATCCCTGTCTTGTTCCTTTTTCAATTTTAAACTCTGTCGTCAAACTTCCATTAATAATAATCTGTGCTTTTTGCTCTTGATAAATTGCTGAGATCGCCTGTGTAAATTGGTCCCCAAAGCCCATCTTTTTTAAAGTCTTTAGTAGAAAATTCCAATCCACTCTATCAAAGGCCTTCTCCGCATCCAAAAAGACCAGCACTGCAGAAATCTGTTTATTCTTATCAAGATATTCCAATAAGTCTATTACTTGCCTTACATTGTCCTTCATGTATCTGCCCTCAATAAATCCCGCTTGGTCCTCATGAATCACCTTTTGGATTACTGGCATCAACCTGTTGGCTAATACCTTCGCATAAATTTTATAGTCTGTGTTCAAAAGAGATATTGGTCTGTAGTTCTCTGGTTTTTTAGGACCAACTTGTTCCTTTGGTATCAAAGATATATAAGCAGTTGTCCAGGATGGGGGTATTTTACCCCCTTGTTGAATATTGCAAAATAAATCTCTAAGTTGTCCCACCATTTCAGCTTGTAAAGTTTTGTAATACACTGCAGTCAAACCATCCGTGCCAGGAGCTTTAGCTGTTTTTAGCTGTTTAATTGCTACTATTATCTCCTCCTCTGTTATAAGATAATTCATTCTTTCCTTTTGTTGATCAGTAATTTTTGTAACTCTCTTATCCTTTAAATATTTTTCTATAAGTCCATTCTGCACCTCTTCTTTAGCATATAGTTTAGTATAATAATCCACAAAAGCTTCTTTAATTAATTTTTGTTGAAAAATTTCTTTCCCTCCAATATCGATACTGTCAATAGTCCGCATACTTTGTTTTTTCCTCAATGTGTAGGCCAACCATCTGCCCGGTTTATTAGCATTGCAAAATGTATTATGCTTCGCGTATTGTAAGCTTGTTGCAACTTGTTCCGCCATAAGCATTTGGAATTGGTCTTTCAAAAGTTTTATAGCACTTCGTATTCTTTCATCTGTTGGGTTTTTAATAAGTAACTGTTCTTTATTCTTTATTTCCATTTCCAACTCAGATCTTTTCTTTTGTCGGAACAGTCTATGTTTAGAATTCATGTAGATAAGTACCCCTCTCATATAAGCTTTACTTGCATCCCAAACAATTTCAACTGGGGTACCTTTATTCAAATTTATTTCAAAAAATTCTTTCAAATGCTTTTTAAGTTCTATTATATTTTTTTCATATCTAAACAAGTTCTCATTTAATCTCCAAGAACGTCTCTCAACCTTATCCATCTCGATTTCTATCCATACAGGACTATGATCAGTCAAAGTTCTTGGAAAAATCTTTGTTCTTTTTGTCTTAACAAGTAGATCATTTGACAACAAGATAAAATCAATCCTAGAAAAGGATCTATGTCTATCAGAAAAAAAAGTGTAATCCAATTCATTTGGATTATGTATTCTCCAAACATCTTTTAGTTCCATATCTTCTTTCATATCAAAAAAGGTCTGTGGTAATCTAATTCTAGACTTTGCCAAGCTCTTTTTATCTAATTTAGTATCAATTACTCCATTCCAATCTCCCATAATTAAAATAGATCTATAGTCCCATTGCAATATTTTAGTATGTAACATCTTGTAAAAATAATCCTGTTGTTGGTTGGGAGCATAAATTCCAATCAAAAGAATTTGCCCATTTGCTGTAAACAATTCAATTGCTACAAATCTACCATCTTGATCTACTTCTATAACTTTTGCTGTTAATTTTTTATTTACATAAATAACCACACCATTCTTTTTCTGCGAAGTTGAAGATATATAATGTACTCCTAGTTTTGAGTTTATCAAATATTTTTGATCTTGAGTTGTAATATGCGTTTCTTGTAAACATATTATATCATTATTAAATTGTTTCAAATATGTAAATAATTTTTTTCTTTTCTGTGCTGAATTCAACCCATTGACATTCCAAGATAAACACTTAAAGGTCATTAGCCTCTTTCTGGAGCGCGGAGCAATATGCTTGAAGTTCATCCGAGAGCTTCGATCTCGCTCCTCCCATAGCGCCAGTCTCTTGTGCAGTGCTCTTAACTGCCTTCTTATCTTGTCTTTCCTGTTGTTGTTGTTGCTTTTGTTTAAGTAGCTTGGATTGAGCTCTAGTTATACGTTGATCTTTAACTTCAGTCAACTGAATCAAATCCAAAATTGGAGAAGAATCCAGCAATGGCTCACTCAGAATACCTCCTTCTGCACCTTGCACGTTTTCTAATTCCTGCTTAGACTGTTCTTTCAATTGCCTCTCTTCACTCTCCTTAATCTCCAAAACTGTAGATGTACGTGGAGATGGTGTTCTTTCCTTAAGAATAGTACTGTAAAAGTGTTGCGCCTTCTCCACGGTATTCAACCGATATCCTTCTCCCTTATATCTGAAAATTACCCCAGCTGGTGCATCCCACCGGAAGGGTATCTGTAAATTTTTCAATTCCTTAACAAGAAAATCAAATTCTTTTCTAGCTTTCAGCATTTTAGGAGGTAATTCTTTAAAAATTACAAGCCGTGAGCCCCCCACTTGTATAGAAGTGTGAAAAGATTTTTGCAGGATATCATTTCTAATTTCTCTCTCAGTAAAGTATATGACCACATCTCTGGGTAATTGTCTTTGCCTGGCCACCCAAGAGTTCACTCTGTAAATTTTATCTATTTTATGAAATACCAAATCAGGATTAACTTGTAAAATCTTAGCCAGGGCTTCAGAGCAAACTTGTCTCAAGTCCTGTCTTTCCTCCTCTCGAATTCCCCGAAGCCGTATGGCAAATTCCATCGCCCGGAATTGTATCATAACAATCTCATCTTCAATTCTCTGCATTTTATTGTCAACTTCATCAATTTTATAGTCATTATCTTTCATCCTAACATTAACTTCTGATTTAAATTCTTCAACTTTAAAATCAACTTTCCCAATAAAATCTGCCAGGCCAGACGCCACTTCTGATATTTTTTTGGTCACCATAATTTGATTCTGTTTCACCATGTCTTTAACTTCATTAATTTCCTGCAAAAATTCCTGATGTGATTTTTGAAGTTTATCATCTATCTCCTGATGTGATTTTTGAAGTTTATCATCTATCTCCTGTTGTGATTCTTGAAATTTATCATCCAAAGTTTTAGAAATAAATTCTTTTAAATCTGCCACATCAAATTCTTTTTTCTGAGTTTGTAACTGTTGAGCAGGGGGAAGTTGCGTTTGATGTTTATGTGTGGGGGATCCCCCCCCCTGATGCCTTCCCTTCCTGCTTCTTTGAAGCCATCGTGCCACGTAAGCTAGTTTTTTTGAAGAGGGAAGTTCTTTTTCCTTTCCCTCTTCCACAGAAACTTCTAAAGAAGTCCCCCAGATTTAATCAGGTGGAACTAGAGTAAAGCAAAGTCAAATTTTAGCAAAAGAAATTTTTTCTTTAGATAGAGCAACTTTGTAGCAATTTTACAACTTTGTAGCAAAGCAGGGAGGCTTCACAGATCCACTTTCACTAGCTCGTTAACTCAAACGCTGGACGCCATTTTTTTTCAAATCACTTTCACTCGCTCACTTTCTCTTTTGATTTAAAAAGTCAACAAAGCACCAATACTTGCAGTTTTCAAGTTTCTGGATTCAAGTTGATATTTCCGCTGTTTGTTAAAATTAATTCCTCTCACTTTAAAAGTTTGCTGCTGCCGGCTTGTTCTGCTGAAGGCAGAATCGTCCCACGCCGCCCGGAGTCTCCGCAGGTTGGAAGGGAGCCACACCTGTTTTCACCCCCAGAAGGAATTCCCTGGGGGGGTTACAGGGGCTCAACCTGTACCCTGCTGTCTCTGCTCCTGCAATCTTCAAGATTTCGGAGTTTTCGAGCCGCACCTCGTTCGCGGGGCGGCTCTACAGGCGGCGGGGCTGGCGGTCTTGAAAAAGTCACCGCCGTCGCCGAAGCTCGCAAACCGGAAGTCCGACCCTGTCTGATTTTTAACTCTTAAGGAATAGGCTGTTTCTCATCGTCTGGGCTAAGATCAAGCACCAGTCACTGGCCAATTATGGGAACCCAGGTCCAAGTTGCTGTGGGACACCAAGTAGGGAAAGCAACTTTGGAGATCACATGGAGTGTTACCACGCTGAACAGATGGGTTTACCCAGTGTGTTGTCAAACAGCTGTCTGCAGATGATAAATCACAGCAAGCTGAACTGGCTGAATCATTATCTATGAAAAGATTACAACCACTTTTACTTTAATTTAGTATACACTGTTTAAAACAAGCCCAGGAGTTATTTTACAGGTCCCTATTTTGCATGTAATCTCCAATCCACGGAGAGATCTGGTAACTGTCTATGAAATTCCCAGTTAATTTTTTTTTAAATTTGATTTATATGCCGCCCTTCTCCGGAGACTCAGGGCGGCTTACAATGCATTAAGCAATAGCCTTCATCCTTTTGTATATTTATACAAAGTCAGCTTATTGCCCCCACAACTGGGTCCTCATTTTACCTTCCTTGGAAAGGATGGAAGGCTGAGTCAACCTTGAGCCTTGGCAAGATTCGAACCTGCAGTAATTGCAAGCAGCTGGTCTTAATAACCAGCTTAATAACAGGGTGCCTTAGACCACTGTACCAGCAAGGCAGGTAAACTCATTTGGTAACACAGCCACTAGATCAGCGTGGTCTATGTGCAACACCTCTGGAGCCTCCATTAACCCAACTGCCACCACACAATAGACTTAAGCTAATTCTCTAACTAATAGGAGCCTGGATAGCTCAACAGACAGAGCTCTGTAATTTAACATCAGCTGTCTGCAATTAAAGTAAGATCGAATCTCGCCAGGCTCAAGGTTGACTCAGCCTTCCATCCTTTCTAAGGTAGGTGAAATGAGGACCCAGATTGTGGGGGCAATAAACTGACTTTGTATAAATATACAAAAGTTTGAAGGCTATTGCTTAACGCATTGTAAGCCGCCCTGAGTCTCCGGAGAAGGGCGGCATATAAATCAAATTAAAAAAAAAAATCATAGAACACAGAATCCTAGGATTGGAAGGGACCTCAGAGGTCTTCGTCCAACTCCCTGCTCAACGTAGGAGACCTTATACCATCCCTGCCAAGGTCTCCAGTCTTGACCAGTCAAGTAGCCTGGTCCATAGAGTGCCCCCAAACAACACCCCCCCTCCTTCCTACAGGTCAGGGCTACGCGGGGCTTCCTTCGCCATCCAAACCCCCCCCCCCCCCACCACCAGCAGATCGGATCTTAGCCACCCCGAAGCGCCTCGTGGAAAAGCGAAGCGCGGGCTGTCGCCACGTGCCAATTTCCCACGTGAGCCGGGCGAGCGGGCGCGCGCTTGGCCCGGGCCAGATTGCCGACAGCTGAGCCCCTCTCCGGCCGCCTCCTCCCACCCCGCGCTGGCCTTAAAAAGGGCCTGCCCGGGCCAACGCCTTCCTCCCCGGCAGCGTTCGCCCTGACCCTTGCGCGCTGCTTTCCCCGCTCCTTTTGCCCCCTTGGGCTCCCCGCAGCCTCGCCTGCTTGCTTCTCCCCTGCCTTGGCCATGCAAAAGGGCTGGAAAAAGTACTTTGGCCAGAAGTCCCTCAGCGAGGTGACCATGGATGAGTACCTGGGCAGCCAGGGGCTGTACCGCAAGCTCACAGCCAAAGACGCCACTTGCCTCTTCCGGGCCATTTCCGAGCAGGTAAAGCCAGCCTGGGCTGGCCCTTGGGGACGACGCCTCCCGGCTCTTGGCCCTGAGCGGGGCTGCGCTCTGGCTTTGGGGGGGGAGAAGGGGTAAAGGGGGTGAAAAGCGCGATTCACTCAACAGGGGGTACGCGAAACACCCGTGAGCAGAGACCGAGCCCCCCCCTCTCTTCCTCCTCCTCGTTTTGGGGGTTTCTATCCAAGCGGGGCAGAAGATGAAGCCTAACTAGTCTTTTTCAATGCCGACCTCTTTGGCTTTAAGTGAAAGTCTCGAGTTTTGTTTCTGCTTTGTAAAAGTTGTGGAATGCACTTTTTCCCTCCTTGAAAGGGGTTTACACCCCCGTTGCCTTTTAAAGGGAAATATTATCCCAGGACGAATTATAGTCAATGAATTGGGTGACCCAGATTGAAGTATAGAGGCATAAAGTATGAATTTAATACAACCAGGCGAAATGGTCCTGCTGCTTTATTAAAACATGCCTAACTTATAAAAAAAACTTTTTAAACAAGTTTGGTTCCTACAATGGATTAAACTTCAAACTTGGGTTGGGTTTGGCTTCCTGTCTTTTGGGAAGCCAGTTGCCTTCATTTGTAGTCCTAGTTTACTGATACATAGTGGCTTACTCATCTGCCATGGTTAAAATGGGGTTTAGCAGTGTGAACTCAATTGCTGTGTTCCAAGTTGACTGCATAAACACAGTTCATGAAATTCAAGATAAACTTTGCTGCTCTGTAGCTCAACACAGACCAGTTTTGTTCAGGCTCTGTAGTTAAACCTGGTTAGTACTTGGATGGGAGCCAGCAGGAGATAGCATAACTGTTGTAGACTTTTCTGGAAATCTAGAATGCAACCTAAAAGTTGCAGTGAAAAACCTCTTGTATATGATTGCCCTGAAAAGATCTGTATGTTATTCACCAGGAATAGAGAACTTGACTTGAGGGCGCTTTTCATGTTTCTTTTTAGAAAATAGAACCTTGAATATTCGGGTAGTATTTAAATGCAGAGTAAGAGGATGGAAAGTCTCTCATCCTGACTATTATTATGCCCCAAGTAATGATAAAACATTTGATAGTTTATGTAATGCAGCCTTTCTAAGTGGAGACACTTCCAGGTATCCAAAGTTCAGCTCTTGAGAGTCTCAACAAGTGGCCATACCAGCTGGAGAATTCTGAGAAATGAATTAACACACACACACAAAGAGCATCAAGAAATGGTGAAGTTAGTGTGCTGCATTTTTCCTGACCTGGCATCCAATTTGACCCTAAAATTCCCAAGTTAGGAAAGACTAGTGCCAAACATAGTACATTTCACATTTGTGTTATTTTGCTGCAGTTGAGCAAATGATAAATTAATCAGGTCCTCATGCAAAGGCTGGCAGAGTTTGTAATTGTTTTCTTATTATGGGTTATTGTTTATATTTTGGATCTGAGCTATGGGTAAGTATAGTGTGCTTGTTGGGGTTTTGCCTGGACTGCAAGGCAATGTAACATTTATAAAAAAACATTTATTTATTTATTTATTTTATTAAATTTGTATACCGCCCTTCTCCTACTGGACTCAGGGTGGTGCACAGCCAAAATAAAAACATCCCAATACAAAATTTAAAATTTGTTAAAAGAATTACACAACTCTGGCCTAAATTTAAAATCCCGACTAAAACCCATAGACAATTAAAAATCTAACATCTCAAAAAGGGGGGGGGGGTTTACGCCAGCCCTGCTTGGTGAAAAAGAAAGGTTTTTAGGGCATGGCGAAAAGCCCAGAGATCTGGTATCATATGTATCTCCGGGGGCAGGTCGTTCCAGAGGGCAGGTGCTGCCATAGAGAAGGCCCTTCCCCTGGGGGTCGCCAGCCGACACTGCCTGGCTGATGGCACCTGAGGAGTCCCTCTCTGTGGGAGCGTACTGGCCGGTGGGAGGCTATCAGCGGCAGAAGGCGGTCCCGCAAATACCCAGGTCCAATGCCATTTAACACTTTAAAAACTGGAACAACCTGTTTGAATAGCTAAGGGCTTGTAGCCTCTTTTCCATCTGACTTACATGAACTACTTTGAGATGCAGTGGGTCTCTGGGAATAATTATGAATGCTCAAATGCAGTGTTTTGCAACCTTAGCCATTTTAAGAGGTTTGGATATCAACTCCCAGAAATACCTACTGCTGGCTGGGGTATTCTGGGAGTTGAAGACCACACCTCTTAATAAATATGGCTAAGGTTGGCAAACACTGCTTTAATGTAAGCCATTTTTGGATCACTATGGAGTATGCATAATGCTTGTCCCCTTATCTAGCTAATTTGAAATAACTATTTTGGCTAGAAATGACCCAAAGACCATTTATTGAGCAACAAACTGTTTCAGGATCTCACCAAAGAAAGATTAAGGCTAAACTTGGTAAGTTTGTATGTTTTCTGATCCTTGAATTTAGTATCAAATCAAAGGATCTGCTTCTTTCTTCTATTTGCAGTCTCTCAAGACAAGGAAGCACATTAATCACATTCCAAAGTTACTTAATTTGAAGGATTTCCTTAACATTGTTTTAAACTTTGAATATTTTAGCAAGCATTAATAACTCTGATGCCTCAGAACAGAGATGTAATATGCACATAGCTCTATTCTGCTTCTTGAAACCGTAGTTGGTTCATAAATTTTAATTGATATATCAACGTTTTTAGGTTTATGCTTGTCAGATTCATCACATGGCAGTCAGAAATGCTTGTGTTTCCTTCATGAGGAAAAACCAGATAAATTTTGAGTCTGTGAGTATATTTGTTTTTGAAGTATGTTTTAAAGTAAGCATATATAAACCTCTCCAACCATATATACTTAATTTATACATGTTTGATTTTGAAATTGATTTAACTGGGTAATTGAATCCTAATTTTTGTTACATAGTAATTTTATAGTAATTTTCTTAGCTGCTCAGAGTTGAGTGTCAGGTTCAACTCAAGTTTAATTAAAAAATTATTATGCCAAATCTTTTCAGTATGTAGGATCCTTGGTGCTTTCTGGGCTTAGTGGTTTTCTTGCAGACTTTTCACTACCAAATTTGATAATAACATCAGTGTTGGAGGGGAGTGAGTTTGCATTTCAGTATGACTGACACTTAAATCCATTTGCAGATATCTGTATAGGCACATACATACATATGAGTTGAAGGTTTTACTCAGAATTTAGGATGTCAGGTAAAAGCAAAATCACTAATTGCATTCCCTTTCTCTCTCTTTCACACCAAGTATGTGGAAGGCTCATTTGAAAAATACTTGCAACGACTTGGAAATCCCAAGGTAAGAAAGATTTGGCAAATATGCTCTAGTTCATCAGAACAGTTGAATAGAAGCCCCTGAAAGTTTAAAGCGGTGTAAAATACAAAACTGTACGAACAGTCCTCGGTTTATAACTGTTTGTTTAGTGGCCATTCAAAGTTACAATGGCTCTGAAAAGAGTGATTTATGACTGGTTTTTCACACTTAATGACTGCTGCAGCATTCAGGTGCTTGCTAACTGGCATGTATTTATGATGGTTGCATGGTCCCAGGATCATGTGATCACCATTTGTAACTTTCCAGCTGGCATCTGACAAGCAAAGTAAATGGTGGCGCCAAATTTGCTTAAGAATCCCATGATTTGCTTATCAACTTCAATGATTTGCTTAACAACTGTGACAAAAGTTGCAAAATGGGGCAAAACTCACTTAACAACTGTCTTGCTTAGCAACAGAAATTTGGGGCTCAATTGTGGTAGTAAATTATCTGTATGTGGAATTTTCCTTAACTAACCAATTTAAATTCAAATTGGTTTTGTTTACCAACCAGCCTATGCTACAGATGGGTTATATTTGCTTTATTAGTTATGGTATATGGACATACATACATGTTGTCTGATACATAATAAGGGTCTTATTTGGAGAAAATTCTTTGCAGATTTTAGTCTTAGAAAATAGTAATAGTAACTTCAAAAGTGAAATATAGGTCTCTCTTTTTCCACCAAACATGTTAAAGTTATCTTTTTTGTAAAAATATGGAAGCTGACATCAACTTTACTATTGTATTTCTAAAATTATGCTCATTAAACAAATTAATATATTGATGCTATATTTCTTTTGCATTTCTGTATGACCTTTGCTCCTTAAGAAAATAGTATATTTCAATTTACTTTATGAAAATGCTGATATCCTGCCCTATTTGCTCAGGGGAGTTTTGGGTTATGTGATTGAAAATACTGTAATTTTGGTCAGGTGACTGTAGGTATACTGCCACAGTTATGTAAAGATTGGTTGTAGGCCACTTTTTTCAGCACTGATATAATTTTGAATGGTCACTAAACTATATGGTCATAAGAAATTGAGGACTATCTCCAATATAACCAATGTTGGATAGTCTAATTCAGGGGCGTCCAAGCTTGGCAACTTTAAGACTTATGGACTTCAACTCCCAGAATTTTTCAGATAGCATGGCTGGCTGGGAAATTCTAGGAATTGAAGTCCATAAGTCTTAAAGTTGCTAGGTTGGAGACCCCCTGGTCTAATTGGATTCAATCATGTAGCTGCTTGATTTGGGACTCACTGCTGTGTTTGAATTTTCAAGGAGACACCACTGTGGCATGCGTTATGGCAATCTAATACGAACATTAATGCTTGTATCATTAACTAGATTGAGCAGTAGATGAGGGCTTATGTTGGAGTCACCCCAAAATTGCTATATTGCAAAGTAGTCATTTCCTTTCCTTTCTGTTAAACAGGAAAGTGCTGGACAACTTGAGATCAGTGCCTTCTCACTGATCTATAAGTAAGTACTATATTACATTACAAATTTCAGAACATGATCTCTTCATATTATTTAAATAAAATATATTTCCTGCAACTAGAAGCACAAGTAACCTAAGAAAGTATTCATTATTGTTCCTTCATAGACATTAAAAGAGTTTCCACCACTTACAACTCTTAGCAGTTATAAAAATGATCTGAATCCATGTTGGAATAGGACATAAATCTACTTGGCAATTACTAAACTGTTGGCTTTAGTAAGAATTTATTAGGTCTGTCTTAAAAGCAGCATAACTCCGTTTTCCTGGATCTGTTTGTGATTTACATGCTGCCTTTTAAATAAGCTTTTTCAAGACAGGGTACAGTCAAATGCCATAAAAATACCATAAAACCCGTTATCTAAAATTATAAATTAAAAGCTAACTAATAGAAGCAGCTTCCAAGGCTTTGTAGGCATTTAGCTATCAAATTAAAACTGCCGAGGCAATTTAATCACAGCAGGAATTGAAGACCAAAGGAAAAAATACTGATAGAAAGTGTAGTAGAACAGCTTCATATATGAGAACACTTAATCAGTGGAACGGCTTCCCTCTGGAAGTTGTGATGCTCCATCACTGGAGGTTTGCAAGAAGGGATTTCACAGCCATTTGTTGGGAATGGTATAGGGCCTCCTGTTTTACCAGGGGTTGGACTAGAAGACCTCTAAAGTCCCTTCCAGCCCTATGATTCTATGAATCAAGGTGAATAAGATCAGCTAGCTTTTGTTTATGATTCTATGGAAGAACTGGGATGGTATAAAGTCTCTGGCCTTGAGCAGGGGGTTGGACTAGAAGATCTCCAAGATCCCTTTCATTCCTTGTTCTATTTTCTATATACCGTATTTTTCGGAGTGTAAGACGCTCCAGAGTATAAGACGCACCTGATTTTTGGGGGGGAGGAAAATAAAAAAAAAATTCTGCTTGAGAGGCTCTCTGTTTGGGAGGCTGCATTTGCAGCCTCCAAAAGGGTGGGGGCTGGCAGATGGGCGGCAGTGGTGGGTTTCAAATTTCTTTTACTACCGGTTCTGTGGGCGTGACATGGGGGCGTGACAGGGGAAGGATACTGCAAAAATCCCCATTCCCTCCCCACTCCTGGGGAAGGTTACTTCAAAATCCCCATTCCCTCCCCACCCCACTAACCTGCTCTGGAAAGGAATCAAACTCCCCCCTCTTCATTTCCCCAAATAAAACATTACTCATAAGAAAAGGCTCCCAGAAAAACAAGGAAAAATCAACAAAGGAACCTGCCTGAGGCTCATTCCATATTCCTGCCAGCTGCATAAAGGAAACTTTGTAAGAAGAAAACAGCTACCGATGCTTAGAGATAATAGAAAGTGAAGCTGGAAGTTCTGCTCCATTTACAAGCAGGCAGAAAACTCATTCAAGACAGGGTATTTCACAATGGAAATCGCCCAAACCTTTTTATAAACACAAAGCCCATGTTGCACAAACCCCAAAACTTCAAAAACATAGAACCATATAAGAATCCCTCCTCTTATCCAGTTTGTTGTTCAGCTGACCCAGAAACGAACTGCTGAATGTCACTTCGCTTCTGCAAGTAAAAACCTTCTTCTAGCAGCTGCTTCTTGGCTTGTCAATTTAAAACGGTGGCATCTTGGGGTCTTCCTCTTCCTCTTCCTCTTCCTCGCCAAGCGATCTCCCAGCTGAAAAGCGAGCCCTGATTTTTTCCTTATAGCCCAGTGGTTCTCAACCTTCCTAATGCCGCGACCCTTTAATATAGTTCCTCATGTTGTGATGACCCCCAACCATAAAATTATTCCTAAGACCATTGAAAATATGTGTTTTCCGATGGTCTTAGGCGACCCCTGTGAAAGGATTGTTCGACCCCCAAAGGAGTCCTGACCCACAGGTTGAGAACCACTGTTATAGCCGATCAGTTGGGAGGCTTCTTGGCTTGTCAATTTAAAGTGACAGTGTCTTGTTTTTTTTTTTTTCTCTCTCTCTTCTTTGTCAAGCGATCTCCCCACTTTGAGCCCTGGTTTTTTCTTTCTAGTTGATCAGCTGGGAGACTGGGAGACAGCGAATAGATTGGGGGTGGAGCCAGGCAGAGGTGGTATTTACTGGTTCTATGAACTACTCAAAATTTCCACTGCCGGTTCACAAGAACCGGTCAGAACCGGCTGTAACCCATCTCTGGTGGGCGGGGCTAAATTCGATGTATAAGACGCACCCAAATTTTCACCCTCTTTTAGGGGGTGGAAAAGTGCATCTTATACTCCGAAAAATACAGTACTTTTATCCTTCCATGATGGCTTTGCTGCTAAAAATGAGTTCCAGCTGCTTTGACTTCTGATGGATTTTTTAAAAAGCACAGTGCTACTTCTAACTTGCAAGGAGTGTTCACTTTTTAGCAGAAAAGTTACCAGAAGCAGCACTGTTGGGAAACTGCCAGCTGGGTCAGTGGACAAGTGGAGAGTGGAAATCCAGTGACTGTCTTGTGTGCAGTTCTGTTTTCTTTTTTCAAAATGTCTGGAGGTTGCACAAACCTAACTCACTGAAATAACTACAGTAGTGTGTGGGGGAGAGGGTCTTCTTTCATGATCCACCATGCACCAATCATTTTGCTTGGCCAGTTGGCTGGACTAATAATCTACCAACGAATTTGAAATTATTGTTGCTCTGAACTGAAGAAGCTTCTTGGATGAGAAGCGAAACATCTTCAAAGAAGAACAAACTCCAGTTGCCTCTTTGGGGTGACTTATTTTTTCCTGTCTCTTACCTTTGCAATTATCTAGTCGAGACTTCATTCTTTATCGGCACCCTGGAAAACCTGCTTCTTATGCTACTGACAACGGCTTTGAGGATAAGGTAAGCGAACTTGACCTATGAGAGAAAAACTGAAGGTACCACTCTATGCATTAGGTGATGTGCAAATCTTTCTAGCTTCCTTGAGTACAAAATCACTTCAGCCATTGGGAGAATATAAAGCTTTTTGTTAATTTCCAACTCCTGAAATGCTCGAAACATACTTGAAGTGAGACATTTCAGAAACTTTTTTGTGATAAACAATCCAGAAAAACCCCACACACATCCTTTTTGATAGCCCTAGTGCAGTGATGGCAAACCTTTTCGGCACTTGGTGCCAAATGTGTGCAGAAACGTGCGTGCGTACTCGTTGGGGCCGCACTCCAGAAAAACCAAACTTCCGGGTTCTAGCGTGCATGTGTGCCTGATGATCAACTGGCCAGCGCACATGTGCACACCGGTTTTCGGCACTGCTGGCAGCTGATCGTTGTGCCTGCATTCAGACCAGAGACCCGGAACACAAACGGGTAAAGCTGCACATGCCTGGCGACATGGCTTTGCGTGCCACTTTGGTCACACGTGCCATAGGTTCACCATCACTACCCTTGTGTGCATTGTGGCCTTGCAGGTATAATTTTTGGGGGAAATAGTGGTCATAGTTTATGTATCATGGAAAGATTGATGAGAACAGAGATTGGCCAAGCAGCACTTGTAATGAGGTTTTTTGAATTTTAGTCCAACACTTTTACTATAGTTTCTTTTTATTTTACCCATATAACAGTGCATAAGAACTTGATAAAATGAATTGGTAAACTATTACTAATATTATAGTATCTAGAAAAAAATTGCAGCCAGTGTTTTTTTTTAAGTTTTCTGACCTAGAACCACCAGAAGAAACTCTTAATTTTTCCACAAACCATGTTCTATGACGTTCGTTATGGCATAGTTTATATGGCTACATAATTTGTCTAAAGAAATTTGCAGTTTCTATAAAAAGGTCTGATTTTAAAAGCATTGGGTTTCATTTAATTAAAACAAAACTGAAGGATGATATATATTTTGATGACTTGTGCTCTTGGCAACTGAGTTGATAAAATGCTAAGTGTGCTTTCTACTCATTCTCCTTGTTCCAGTTTAAATTTTCCATGCGCAGATACAATCTTGACAAGTTTGTACCCTTTAAAAGAAAGTGCTAATTAGCACAGGATTAAGCTCAGCTGCCAAATACTTCTGGCAGATTTGCTATAGACCCACTGATGTACTCAGCCAGTGATGAAATTGTGTGTGTGTGTGTGTGTGTGTATTTATGTTTGTGCATGTATAAGCAGGGTCTCTTCATGAAACTTGTTCATCATTATTAACACCTTTAATGAAAAATTTTGTTGATTTCTCTGAAGATTTATCAGTTAATCGAAGTGTGCGGGAGTCACATATTTTCTGAGTGTTGAATGTTTCATGATAGCCTTATTGCCAAGTAGAATTGTATTTCAAAATTGTTAACTGTAGAAATTTAACAGTCAATATTATGAAGCTGATCTTTAGGCCTGGACACAGTCTGATGCCAGTCTATTAACTTTGTGCATTGCACTGCCTACTGGCTTTTGTATAAAAGCTTTATATGATTCGTTTCACAGTTTCACATTTATAGTGAAAGTGTCAAGTATATGCCATCCCTTTAATTTTATTTGCATCTGTAATACAAGAACAGTATAGTAGAAACAGGATCCTATCAGCTATTTTAATCTTATTCTAAGGTGAATATTAAAAATATGCTGTCCCCTTAATACCATACCTTCATCATATCCAAATAGCTAAAGCAGGGCATTTAGAAAGAGTTAATAGATTAATGGTATCCTGATTAATTGGATAGCTCTTTCCTTGTGATATATAACTGGATATGTTCACAATCATACAAATCAATTTACAACACAAAATAACAGCATTTGCAAAATGTGTTTCAAAGAATAATATAAGAACTATCATACATTATGCTTTTCTTTTATGCATAGACATAATTTTAAAAGCACCCTTTTTATTTGAACGTAAATCGTTTTTGCATTTAATCTACGAATGACATTTAACTTCTATCAATGGGGGAAGATTCTTACTGTTCTATATGGTGATCAAAACAACACAGATTTTCATATTCCCAGAATTATTTTTATGATAAGATTTTTGCCTTTCAGATTCTGCTGTGCTGTTCTAGTAATGGTCATTATGATTCTGTGTATACCAAACAATTTCAAGCCAACGCTGCAATCTGCCAGGGTAAATAAAACATTGCCTTTTCTAGCCTAGCACTATGTTTTAAGTAGCATAATAATGATCTATCCTGTGTAAAATGTTTCTAAGAATATCCCAGAAATCTCCTATTTTTAAAAGCATATTGTCGTTATCAGCCATTTAGTTGTGTCTGTCCCTTAGTCACTCTATGGAGCAGCACTCTCCATCCCTCTATCTTGCACCTCCTCCTTCAGATGTGCCTTGGTCATCCTTTATAATGTCCAGCCAATGGGTGCTAGGTTGGCCCCTTCTCCTTTTTCTGCTAATCACTCTCAGCATGACTGGCTTTTCAAGTGAGTCAGCTCTCATGACATGACCAAAGTATGACAGCCTCTGTTTGGCGATCTTGGCTTCATGTGATAATTTGGTGAGGTTTGGTCTAGGAGTTCTTTGTTATTTTTTCAGCCAATGGGATGCGTAACAGTTAGATAACAGTTGCCTCCAGCACCATAGTTCAAAGGTGTCAACCCTTTTCTCCTACCTGCCTGTTTAAAGTCTACATTTCACAACCATAAATAGCAATTGGAGAAAAATTATTGTGTTGAAAAGTGTTCAAGCTTATAATTTTTTTATAAAGATGCAACCCTTTATTTGCCTAGCTGTCCTTTATGAAATTCTGTACAAAAATGTCTTCAAAGTGGATGAAGAAGAATTGAAAACTGCCCTTGAGATGTTTCGAAATGGGGCTAAGAAAAACAGAAACAGTGCATCTGTTGGCAGTGAAGATGCAAATTTTGATTGCCTTCCTGACAGGGCATCCAGAAATGCTCCGGAAAAGAGGTATGCTCTGAAAATTAAAGAATTACAGTTAAAGTGTCAGTAGATTTCATGAGATGGTGTTCCAGAGCATCTTAACATCTCATGTCTAAACTGGGAAAACTCAATAAGAGGATTGATGGTCAACACCTTTGCTACCTTTAGCACAGCTGGCTGTCCCAATTTAGCAGTCTTCTTCAGTAGTTAGCCAAAATTAATTTTGTCAATGAATTCTGGAAGCTGCTCTTTAACAAATTTAGAGAGAAGGCACATTGGGTGAAAGAAAGCTGCTATCTGGAATGTATCTAGAGGTAAAGGGTGGTGTCAACTCAACCCAACCAGCCAAGATTAAGAAAGCCAGTATTTACACACCCTTCAGGATAGTATGAATGCTAATCTTAGGCTAGATATAGAATCCTAGAACCTCCAGGACAAATGTCCCAAACTTTATAGTGACTTCATTCAGGTCATCTTCCTAGCTTGCTCATCATCTGGGCTGAGTTGCTGTTTATGAAACAAGCCATCAACTGACTTTGCTTCTATCTTGTGTTTGTTGATGGCTACTTTCCCTTCCTTTCCTAGCCTCCTTGCAGTCTCTCATGGATAGAAATTCTTCCATGGGAATTGCAAAGCTGTTGTCATCAAGTTGTTTTTTGTAGGTCAAATTCTAAATCCAGATGGCGACACCAGGGAGATGCTTCCCAGATAATTCAACACTGGGTGGCACCATAGTGCTGCTGCATTGTGCTTTTCCTGCTTCTGGGTTTCAGCACTGGAAGTGCTGGATAGCACTTCCAGGGCTGAAATCCATAGCACAGCGATGGATAGACATGGTTTGCTTCTTTTTTTTTTTTGATCTGATGTGTCTTTAATTGTTTAGATTCGAAGATTGGGTAAACTTTGATTCGGCCCACCCAGCGGAGGAAAAATGCAAGCAAGTCACAGAGGAAGGAAAGGTTTGACAATTTTCAGAAAAGGAGATTCCATGTGTGCAAGCATCAATGTAGCATATATGCAGGCATCTATGTAGCAGGAAGCACTGTTTCATGGCTTTACCTCTTCTTCCTTTTAACTTTGCCTCTTCTTCCAATGCTACGCTGCTCTGGTTAAACACTCACATGTCTAAAATGTTTAAATTTGGCTTCAGGGGAGGCAGATTCAAGGGGCTGGGGAAATAACATCTTGGAAAACTATACTTAAGGTGTCATTAACATACGGCTGGCTTTCTTGAGCCGTGCTATCTAAATGTGGCATTTACATATTCTGTTCTTAAGCCTTTCCTGTTCTACAGAGAGTTTTTTTAAAAAGCAATGTCTCCTTTCTCATGTCCCCCCTTTCTCTGTATGTAGTTTTTTCAACTCCATCATTTCTTTTGATATAACAAATACATAATTATAGAGTCGTTCTCTAGCTTTTTGCCACTCTGCATTAAATTGCTTTTAGTTGTCTAGATTTGAATTAACTACAGGTAGTCCTCAAATTACAACCACAATTGAGCCCAAAGTTTATGTTGCTAAGTAAGAAATTTGTTAAGTGAGTTTTGCCCCATTTTACGACATTTCTTGCCACATTGGTTGATTGCAGTTCTTAAATTAGTAACAGGGTTGTTAAGTGAATCTGGACTCCCCATTGACTTTGCTTGTTAGAAGGTCGCAAAAGGGATCACATGACTCTGGGACACTGCAACCACCATTAATGTGGATCAGTTTCCAAGCATCTGACTTTTGATCACATGACCATGGGGATGCTGCAAAGATCGTATGTGAAAAATGGTCATAATTCACTTTTTTCAATGCTGTTATTAACTTTGAATGGTCACTAAATGAACTGTTGTAAGTCAAGGACTCCTTTTATAACAGGGCTCTACAACCTTGGCAACTTTAAGACTTGTGGACTTCAACTCCCAGAATTCCTCAGCCAGCATGAAATCTGGGAGTTAAAGTCTACAAGTCTTAAAGTTGCCAAGATTGGAGTCCAGAATTATAACATGACTTTGCACCATTCAAAATATGAGTGATGCAAGCCCATAATGTAGTTTATCTAAACCCAGATAACTGTTGGGTTTCTCTGCTGTTTGCCTAAACCCAAAGTAATGGCTATATTATGATTTAAGCAATCCTTCAGGAAATTGAGAAAGGATCCAAGACTAGGAATGAGAAATCAAAGTTGCTCTACTCTTGTTTTACTGTGTCCTGTCTGCCTGGTATAGGGGATTATTTTTTGAAAAGGGCTCTGATCATGCACATATTTTTCTCCTTGGGAGACGATAAGCAAAATGGCAACATAAAAATTGAAAGTGGGACTAGCCAACTATGAGTTGATGTAGTTTGCTGCTTGTATGTGTGAAACTTGTATATAAATCTTGTACCTGTGGTTAATACTCAACATAGTTTAGCCTAGGGCTAACTAGCCCAAATGATGTCCTTTTTTAATTTTGTGGTCATTGGCTATCAGTTATAAACAGAATTCCCAAGAGGAGAGGATTGCTTTACACTTTGTCTCTAAATTATTTCAAATAAAAGCAATTAAATTAGCTTGCCTCCCAGCCTCAGAGATTAGTGAAGTGCAAAAATGCCTAATCAGTGGTTCAAGTGTTTTATTCCACAGTTGTTGTACTATTTGATATTTATCTTCTAATTGCCACGTGCAAGTTGAAAGTCACATATTTTTGGGTGGTGCTCACCCTAGAATATGGGAAGTTGCATGTGGCAATTAGAAGATAAATATCAAATAGTAGGTGCAAAGTGTAAACTAGTAGATAGATTTGAGCATTTCCTTTACAGTTGGCAGGTTAAAAACAATTGTAGCCAGCAGCTCTTCTAATTTGCTCCTCTTCAACTTCACAGCCTCCTGAAAACCCAAGGATGCCCTTTCCCTACAAAGTATTGAAAGCCTTGGACCCCGAAATCTATCGGAATATAGAGTTTGATGTTTGGCTGGAGAGCAGAAAAGGTAGTCTTGTCTCATGATTCATTTTGCACTTGAAAAATCTGTTCCATACCTTTGCACTTGATGGCTGAAGTCAAGCAGATGTTGTGTCCAAAAAGTTGAACACAGCTGGCCTAGTAGTTGAATTCCCGGTGCACGCATATGAAATTCTGATGCTAAGAATTTGCTGTTTCCTGCAACAGTAATAAAATACAGCTAAAGAATTGTTTGTCATGAAAACATGTTACCCAAGCTACATTGGGTTTAATAAATGCATAGTTCCAATGGACCTTGGAGTTTTCTTCCTGGGTTGTAGTTGGTTAGTTGACAAGACCCACTGCAAAACCTATGCATGTAGGCCATGTTTCATATGCTTTCTGCTTTAGCAAAGGAGTACTCTAGCATACAATCATCCTTCAACAGTCATCCTTATTTTTTATTTTATTTTTATTTTTATTGAATTTCTATACCGCCCTACTCCCGAAGGGCTCAGGGCGGTGAACAGCCTTGAAATAAAACACATACATATACAAAATTTAAAATCGAATAAAATGAATTAAATAAATTTGGCTGAATTGATACCCATAATTTAAAATACCCATATTTTAAAATACAGTAAAAATTTAAAATTTACACTTAAAAGGGAGAAGATTTAGGCGAGGCCAGCTTGATGAAATAAAAGAGTCCTTGATCCTAATGTAAATCATGGAAAGGCTGTAACTAAAAAACTGTCATAAGTCACTTTTTTCAGTGCTGTTGTAACTTTGAATGGTCAGTAAGCGAACTGTTGTAAGTCGAGGACCATCTATATTGGGAGTACTACCCTAGAAGGTAGTTCTTGGAGATGCACTCTTAAAACTTCTGCAGAGCACCAGATGAAGGAGTTTGCATATACCCAATAATATATCAAAAACAGGGTGGGAGCTGACAGCAAAAATTTAATTCTTATTTTTGAACTATTTGACTTATATTTTCCTTTATCTAACTGGAAACAGCTAAGTGGGAATGAAGCTTAGAAGTTTTAATTATGAAGTTCACAAAAACCTATGAATAATTTCATCCTGTCTTTATTAGGTCGTCTATTTGTTGTACAAGAAGTCCTTGTTTAGTGACTGCCTTGTTGAGTGACAGCTTGCAGTTAAAATGGTGATAAAAAAAATAACTGCAACCAGTCCTCTAATTTATGACCTTCACAGGTCTGTCAAGCAAAGGCAGGCTGAAGTCAGCTCATAAGCAGAGTCATGATATCATGTAATGACTGCTTCGTTTAATAACCGAGTTGCTGGTCCCAATTGTCACTAAACAAGGACTATCTATGCAGTTTTCTCATTTATGCCCTCCCTATTGTTGAACATGAATCCCTAGGGAGCATGTGAAGACTTCTGCATTGGAGAAGGCTATATAGACATAACATTCATTGGGTATAATTAATGTCCTTGCCAGCTGCAGCTAATATCAGGAAAATAAGCCAGTTACATAATATTATTTTCCATGCAAAGAATTTTACCATCAGATTAGTATCCATGAATGCTTGATAAATAGCTTAAGTTTTCTTTTGATTTTCGTTTGTAGAATTTCAAAAAACAGATTACTTGGTGTTTGCTGGAAGACAGTACTACTTAGGAGACAAATGTCAGGTTGGTGCTGTGTGTTTATTTAATAAAGATAATTGTTTGAAGCAACTTTGGACATGCTCTAATTAAACTTACTGAATGCAAAAGATATATTTGGTCATTGTAGAAAAGAGTTGTTTAAAATAATTTGCAATCAGCAGAACAAATTTTCCTTGGTTTATTAAACCATAAAGTTCCTGGTTTCTGATCCTGACCTAGATGTTTCATTTAAAAGTGTTCTAACAGAAGTAGGAATAATCTTTAATTAGTTTTCTGAGCTTTCTTATTGTATAAGATGACCTCAGTTAAATTGAGGCTTTGTTGAGGTCTCTTCATAATTCCAGCAACTCCACTGTTTTATCCTGTTTTCCACTTTGATGATCAACAACCATTGGAAATGTGTGTTGGGCAGTGTCTTTATTACATTTAACTTGATGAAACCTTTAGGGCCTGTTGGAAAAATGGAAAGGGGTTGCTACATCCATTATCATGACTTACTAGAGTAAACAAGTATAAATCTTGAAAAGTTGTAGGTTTGCTTGATCTTGTTTCTGTTGTTTTTGATGTTACTGAGCCAGCTTTCTGTGGCACAGAGAATAAGGCTATGCTTTCTATGTCAAAAGTTCCATACCCCAATCATAATTCTGGAATATGAGTTTGATATCTCTGACCCTAAAATAACAGAGGTTTCTAATTAGGTCGTCTTGTTTTTGAGAAAAAATCCATGTATGGACTATTTCTTGATACATAAATTTCTGTTTGGCTTGCATGTTCTTACAACCTTTATCCAAATTAGGTGAGCTTCATTAGCTGAGATCTTCTCAGATCTTATTGGTGCTAAGTTATGAACCTGATACCAGTTCCAGTGAGTTTTCAAAAGAAACATAAATTTAACTTTCAAATAATAATAATATGGCGTGAGCACTTTTGACCATTTGGATAAGCAACTTGCATCTCTGAGAGGACATATAGCTGCTTCCTCCTAATTTATAAATGGTTTTTGAATTATCCCCGAACATTGTACTACTTTGTTTCTGTGACTGTATAGGAGAAAGAGGTGGCAATATTTTGTGTTTTCTCCTCATATAATGTTAGTGCTTAACACTATTTCCAGAGATATTTCTAAAATGGTTCTGGTTTGTATCAAAAGCATATATTGATTATTATTATTTTTTTGTAGAAAACAAGGACACAAATAAAAAGTCCTGTCTGTCTTACTCTTTTGATTTACATATAGTCTCATATTTATACATACTGTCTCATATTGATATACATATACATTGATTTACATATACATCACATGTTTAAAAAACATAATTTAATTTTTTAAAATATTAATCATATCTAAGAGGTTGCAGTCCCGCTATTTCATAACGTATGGATTCTTACAACATGGATACCTACTTAGCAAACATACAGGACAGAAAATATAAATGAACTTCGTATTTAAAAACGGTGATTACAAAGTTTGTTGGATCTAAGTCAAGGCAAGGATGGAATAGTTTTCAAGAATGAAACACATCAGTTCAGAAGTTGAGTCTGGCTATTTTCACTTTTTTGGCAGTGTGGCTGTGCAAAACCTCAAGTATTCTGAGTATCCCTTTGGGTTCAGTTAGAGTCTTCTTTTTCCCAGGTACGGCTAGAAACGGGGGGAAAATATTACAATGCCCATATACAGGATGTGGGACAGGATAATATGGTGACTGTCTTCATTGAAGAGCTGGCAGAGAAGTATGTATCTCTTTCCTTTCAATCATATAATTGTATTCACTGGAAGAGCTATCGATATTAGAATTTTAGCTGTGCTACTTCGAAATCATGTTGACAGTATTATAACTAATATTATACAAAATCTGACATCTCACTTTCCATATCATTTCTTCAGATAGATTGGGTTTAATTCTATTACAATATGGGGGATTCAGTTCAACAGTTTCTAACAAAAAAGATTTTAATTTCATTTCCCAGGAAAAAGTGTGTTGAAAATGAAAGCTTTAATTTTTGTCCTGGCATAACCTTGACACTTAAAAATTTAAGACATAGTCTTATGGAACCTTTAAAACAAACTTTTTCCTTGTATTTAGGGTTGGTTTTTTGTTTTGTTTTGGTGGATCAAATGTCTTGTTATCCAAGAAGCTTTTGTGATAATATTAATCTTTAATATATTTCCTGATTCTTCATTTTTGTTTGAGTTCTCTGGAAACTCAACAAATTATAGTATTACAAGAGAACATAGTATGAAACCTATTAAGAGAATAATACCTGTAAAGCAAATATAATCAGGAAAAATGGACAGTTCTCTGACAATTTGATGAAAATGGGCTTATTTTTTACTATCAGCTTGTATATAATAAAGACAGTTCTGATATTTCTTCAGACTATTTTACTTAAGTTAGTAATGAAGACAAGGCTTCAATAACTGGAGTCTTCCAGTTATTGAAAGGTTGAATGGGAGATTTATTCTCCATAGTACCTGAGGGCAGGAGAAGAAGCAATGGGTCAAAGGAAGATTCAACCTGGAACTAAGGAGGAATTTCCTGACAGAACAATTAACCAATGGAATGGCTTGCCTCCAGAAGTTGTGGGTGCTCCATCACTGGAGACTTTTAAGAAGAGACTGGTCAGTCACTTGTCTGGAATGATATAAGATCTCCCGCCTTCAGCAGTGGGATTGGACTAGAAGACCTTCAAAGTCCCCCCCCCCCCAGCTCTATGATTCTATACTTTGGCCAAGTAACTTAAATAAGGTTACAACTAAGTTAAATTCTAATTGTCATATCAGTCAATTTACATTAGTGGTTGGCATCATTGTGCAAACTCAATCATTGTGTGGAACTCTTAAAGATAAGTAGCAATGGAAGGAACAGTAAGTTTTAACTTTAGATGTCATAGGTCTTATATCATTATGATTTTAAGTTTTATTTTATGATTGTACTAATTCTGGTTGGGATGATGTGTAGGCATGTTGTTCCATTGGTAAATTTGAAGCCTGTGACCCAAGTCACTCCACTTCCTGCCTGGAATGTGATGTCCAACAGAAAAGGAGGAAGTTATCAGAAGATACCAGGTGGGTACAGCCCAGGGGTGAAATCTAAAATTTTTCGCTACCGGTTCTGTGGGCGTGGCTTAATTAATGGGCGTGGCTTGGTGGTCAGGTGACTGGGTGGGCATGGCTTGGTGGTCAGGTGGGCATGGCCAAGTCGACGTAACAATTTGTCCTTTTTTAACCTACAAAACACAACACAACACAACAAGCTCACCCACAATGTAAAAGCAGCTGTGCTAGACCTAAAATGGCCCCTGCAACAAGCAGGAACCTCACACACCTACAAAAAGCCCAAAAAACCAACTTTCACACTTTACACACACACAACACAACACAACAGGCTCACCCACAATGTAAAAGCAGGGGGAAAATGGCCCCTGCAACAAGCAGGAACCTCACACAGCCACAAAAAATCCAAAAAAACAACTTTCACACTTTACACACACAAAATTCCACATACAGTTTTGTGAGATTTTGTGTGTTTGTGTAGTTAGAGTGAAACACTATAGAAACACACAAAATCTCAGAAAGCTGCACAAATATTATTTTATTTTATTTTTATATAAAAGCAGCTAAATTTAAAACTTCCTAAACTTTAAATGGCTAGGTCCATGATGGCGAACCTATGGCACACGTGCCACAGGTGGCACGCAGAGCCATATTGGTGGGCATGCGAGCATTGCCCTAGCTCAGCTGCAGCATGTATGCACATGCTGGCCAGCTGATTTTCGAGCCTTCTGGGCCCACTGGAAGTCGGCAAACGGGCTGTTTCCAGCCTCCGGAGGGCCTCCATGGGGGGTGGGGAAGGCTGTTTTCTCCCTCCCCAGGCTCCTAGAAAGCCTCTGAAGCCTGGGGAGGGCGAAAAACGGGCCTACTGGACCCACTGTGCCATCACATGCCAAAAGCGGGGGGAGCACGGGGGGTGATGCGCATGCGCGGGGGGCAGGGCACATAGAATTATGGGTGTGGGCATGTATGCGTGCGATCACCCCACACTCTCCCCGCTTTTGGCACGCGGTGGTCAAAAGGTTAGCCATCACTGGGCTAGGTCTAAAAAAAGAACAACTAAAAAATACCCAATTACGGTAACTATTTTTTTTAAAGCTCCCAAAGGGGGGAAAAACGTACCCAATTGAAGGGAAAAAGGCAGGCAGGCAGATAGAGCTGCTCACCGATGAGCTTGATTGCAGGCAGAGAGATTCAGTTGCTTGCTGATGCAATGGATTGCAGGGATTACAGCAAGCGAAGCAAGGCAGGCGTGCGAAGGTAAGCAAGCTGGAGGCTAGGGGGAAAGGGATTTTTGCTACTGGTTCTCCGAACTGCCCGCTGCCATCGCTACCTACTCACCCGAGCAGGGAGCATTTCACCCCTGGTACAGCCATAAGTAAAGACAGTAATGGGATGGCTGGGTAGAGTAGTAATGAAGTTTGCAACCTGCAACTTCTCCAATAATAGTACAAACATCTGTCTGGGAATGAATTTGTCATCCCTTTTCCCATTCTTCTTCATCATCCTCATTTCTCTTTGACAGTGTTTCTCAACCTTGCCAACTTTTAAGATAGGTGGATTTCAATTTAATTAAATCTGTCCATCTTAAAAGTTGCTAAGGTTGAGAAACACTGCCCTATTAATTGAAATGCATTGTGACAAGGAATTTCATATTCATGTTTGGGCTAATTTCTTCCAAAATATGATTTTAGCTGCCATTTTCTCTTATAAACAGTATTTCATAAGTGCTTTTACTACATATGTGCATAGTATCTGTATAGTAAAAGTCTAAAAAAAATCCTTTCAGGTTAGCACTCAAGCAGATTGGGTAAGAGATCACCAAAATGTGAATCCTAAACAAATACCTTATTCCTCGGTTTTGATGTCATCAATAATTGACATGTGAGATCCAGTAGATCAAACTTATTAGTAGTCTTTTTTGTTTTCTTTTTTGAGTTGCTGAACTATCATTGCCATATTTAAGCAATTATAAGGTAAATGCTTCCTGAAGTCAAACTTGATCCCTGGATTAATCATTTTAAAACACTTGGTTTGGCTGAAAGATCCCCCTCTACATTAATTAAAGAGAATCAATTTTGAAAACTTTTATTATTATTCAAGCATCTCTCTTAAAGGAACATTTATTGTTTATGGAGATGTGAATTCTAGCTAGCTGTTTAATAAGTTATTTTCAAAGAATATTTTTTTCTGCTATTTGGAAATATCCTGGTGAAATGCAGGCTTAATATAGATTTAAGCAGGTTAAGTAAAACTGATCTAAATATGGATAGATATTGCAATAAAGTTATAATGACACAAAATCAAAAAACTAGGTGACCATTTAGAGAATGAAGAATATTAAAATCAACCTTCCCATAAGCCTTCATTTGATGAACACACAAATGGGTTAAATGAGTTAAATGGGTTAAAAGAGGTGAGGGTTTGAGTTTTGGAACATGACACACGAATAATCTTTGCTTCTTGTTTGATTCCAAAAGAAGAGGGTTTTTTTTTTAATATCCTTAAACTTATCTTTCAAACTTTTTATTATACAATTGCCTGGATTCTTACATGAAGCCTTTTCTGCTGCAGGAGCATTTGTACTATTCCATGACAACTTTTCCTAAGATTGTTCTAAATTTCTCCCCTCCTGCTCTAGTACTGTTTTATTTCAAAGAAACAAACAAACTGTCAATGTTCCAGAAAACCCCCAACTCCCAGTAAAGACGCGGAAGCAGGCATTTTCCAAAGTCCTCTTTACTAGAATAGATAAAACTGGTACATCTGGGAAATCCCGAATCTGAAAAGCCCGGGCTTTCCTTCAGTAATTCAAAGCTCCCAAACCCACCCCCTTTCTCTTCGACCGATCACGTGCTCCAATCAACGTCCGTCCCACTTCGACCCAGCTCCTGACCACTCCTCCTCCAGATGCTGGATCACCCTGACCTTGACCGATAGGAAGAATGCTATTATGTCTACTAATTCCCCTTTCCTAAATCCCCCCTCCTACTTTCCCACACATGAGGAGGTGTCAGCATGGAAGCTTCCGGCCTAATATGGCTTCCAAGGCTGACACAAACGGGTCCCCAGTTGCAAAAATAAGAAAGCGGACCCCGTTGTAGATCAATCCTAGCCAAAGTTTCAGTCGGTCTTCCTATTCTTATTTCCCCTTCCAGACATGGACATGAAAACACGGAAGAAACTGTTCAAGAAAGTGCATGGAAAGGAAGTCTACATGACTGTGGCTTACAACAGGGGCCACCCTGTCCTGCCACCTCGCCTGCAACACAGCATCGCATCAGATCACTCATCTTTGGTCCACTGCTCCCCAAATGAGCATATAAATCCATATGATCATTACCATTTTCAGAATTCACAGAGATCTGGCCGGGGATACGGAATGACGAGGTAAGGAGAATTGTAATCTCTCCCACCCATTTCACTGTTAGGCAATTCAGAGATGGTTGCACTGCTGATTTCAGCCATAAGCATCACACTGATTTGAGCATAATAGCGTCATAAAATATCCACAAAAGCTACATAGACCTTCTGTTCAGTGTTCTTTGTTTTTGCAGCCTTTATTCTCACACACTTCATTTGCATGTTAGAAAGGAATATTTTAACTAAAGTGTACATAGAGGTAGTCCAAGTAGTCCTCAACATACAACAGTTCACTTAGTGACTTTTCAGAGTTAGAACAGCACTGAAAAAATGTGACTTATAACCTTTTTGCATGAGTTACAACCTTTGCAGCATCCCCATGATCATGTGATCACAATTCAGATGCTTGGCAACTGGTTCATATTTATGACCATTGCTGTGTCCCAAGATCTCCTTTTGTGACCTTCTGACAAGCAAAGTCAATGGGGAAGCCAGATTCACCTAACAACCATGTTACTGACTTAACAACTGCAATGATTCACTTAACAACTCTGGCAAGAAAAGTAGTAAAATAGGGCAAAACTCACTTAACAAATGTCTCACTTAACAATAGAAATGTGGGGCTCCATTGTGGTCGTAAGCCGAGGACTATCTGTATTTGGTTAATGGCTGTTAGTTCATCAACCAAGTTATGACGGTGTTGAATGAAAAAGCTTATGGCCTGTCCTCGAAGTTCTGTCCATCATAGCCTCCCCATAGTCATGCAATGTCCCACTTTGCAATCAATCCTGGTCCCAATTACAATCTTTAAGTGAGAACTACCTGTAGTGGTGAACAGAAGGGTGATTAAATTTGAGAGAGAATTTGCTAGCCATCTAATCCATAATTTCAACACCTGATTCATTTGTGATTTGTGGTTCATACACTCTGTTCTTCTGAACCTGCATTCTGTAAATTAATGCTATGTCCAAACTGGGAGAACTTTTAATTTAAAGTAACAATGACAATAAAATGTTCTCATTCTCTCCCCCTGCCCAACTAATATGATCTACACAGGGGTAGTACCCAATGTTCTTTAGTGGCCTCATAAACCCAGAAACTTCTAATAGCTGATTTCATCTAGGAAAACCCAGAGCTACAAACCAAATTGGGAAGATGAAAAGATATCAAAGGCAGCAACACCAGCAAATACTTCCTGTATTGCTGCCAAGAAAGCCATATTTATTTATTAAATTTCTACACCACCCACATCTGTAGATGGTTGTCTTATCAAGTCATTGGTAGTCAAGGTGGACTTGAAGGTGTTTTTGACTTTTATCAAGTGAGACTTTGTATTGTTGACATGCAATTAAAAACATCTATGGAGATTCTCCGTCATCCAGGTCGTGGTTGTCCCAAAGGTGCTTTTTCAAAAGGTAACTGGACTTCCTTTTTCCTTGACCTTTCGCTTCTCATCCAATAAGTTTCTTCAGTTCACTTCTCCAGAACTGAAGAAGCTTCTTGGATGAGAAGTTAAAGATCTTCATGGAAAAACAAAGTCCAGCTGCCTTGTGAAAAAGCACCTTTGGGACATGCAATTAAAAAAATAACATGCTGGATTGAAGAGAAAGGCAGGACCCTGCACAATTTGCACACACTTGCAAAATGCCAAACGATAGCTGAGCCCGGACTGCTTTGCAGCAGCTTTATTCACGGACATATTTACAGAGGTACTTGAATGGGGCTAGTTAAGAGTCCACCTTGAGCCTTCTAAATTCATAGTTACTTTGCTTTTTTATCCTTTGAAATGTAGGGGATCTGCCCGATTTATAAACAGGAACAACATCACTGGGCCAGAAATAGCATTTTACCCTAGTCCAGGAAAGAGATGTTATCAGAGCTATGATAACTTCTCATATAGATCACGGTAAGTAATTGTAACCCTATCATTTTAATCCAATATACTAGGCGGTCAGTGTTAAAGCCCTATTGTTTTAAACCAATACAATAGGCGGTCAGTGTTATTCCTCAGCTATCGTTTGGGGTCAACTGTCTTCAGATTTCAGTTTTTCTGAAATTTCTCAAATTTTTGAACCTACCTTATGCAGGTAGTCGTGGATTTACAACAGTTCATTTAGTGACCGTTTGAAATAACAGCACTGAAAAAGTGACTTATGACCATTTCTTCACACTTATGATCATTGCTGCATTTCCCATGGTCATGTGATGTACATTCGGATGCTTGACAACTGACTCACATTTGTGACAGTTGCAGTATCCTGAGGTCATGTGATTCCCCCTTTGCAACCTTCTGACAAGCAAAATCAATGGGGAAACCAGATCCATTTAACAACTGTGTTACTAATTTAATAACTGCAGTGATTCACTTAGCAAATGTGGCAAGAAAAATCATAAAATGGGGCAATGCTCACTTAACAAATTCCTCACTTAATGTAAATTTGGGGCTCAATTGTGGTCATAAATCGAGGACTACCTGTACTGAGGTGAATTATCCATTAATTTCTCCAACCGCTGTGAGACAAAATTATTTCCCTAGCTAGGTTTCATGACAACCTTTATAGGCATTGGATGGGACCTGTGAAGTTCCTACCTGTAAAATACTTTTCTACTGTTGTCCTAGTTCCTCTAAGCTTTTCACTTCTAGGATGCAACTTTCTGTATCCTTGAAGCAATATTAAACAGTTTCCAACAGAGACATTTTTTAGAACAGGCAAGGATCCCTGCTGTTTCAGATTCCAAATTGTTGCTTTGTTGATGCAGCAGGCCAATGCCACGTTACGTGAATCTTAACTGCCAAAAGTGCCAGTCTGGTAACAATTGGGCACAAATATCCCTTGGTCCTGTAGTTGCAGCTGTAGGCATTTTCTTTCAAATGTTTTAGACTTGGAAATACTGTGGTGGTGGTGGTGACATTTTAACCTATTGATCGTTCTGGAAGTTCATACAGCCGTAGTCGCAGACAGATGCAATGTGTAAATAAAGAGTGCCAGTACGGATTTTCACCTGAGAATGGGGAGGAACCTCCAGGTGTAGAAGAAACCATGACTTTCTATGAGATTGAAGAAGGGGATGATGCAAATTTTCCTGCTTTACCTGTAAGTCCTTGAGCTGAATTAATTTGAAAAATGCCAAAGTAAATCTTTTAAAGGTAGGCAGCAGGATAGGGTAGACAAGACTGCAAGGGGAAAGTTCACAAATCTTAAAGGTGCCAAGTTTGGAGAGCCCTGGGTTAGAGAGTGCTGGATTAAACAGCCTTGAATTAATCTAGCAAACTGTTAAGAATAACCAAGTTTGATTAAATCGTCATTATGGGAAAAGATCTATACAGATGAAATATAATTGCAAAGCTTCAGGCTCTCAATTTTGTTCATGGGGCTAAAATTTATTAATAGAGCGGTGCACAATGAAATTGCTTAAGAGGGTTAAAAGGGAACCAAATTGCTAACTGAACAGTATCTCTCAAAGGTATAAATGTCTGTTGGCAAATCTTATTCTGAGAAAATAATAATAATAAAATCCTCAGGGCAACTTCTGCTGCCATAAAATTGAATTTAGGGATTTCAAAAGTGCCAAAACAAGGGATTTTCTGCTTGTGAAAGAAACCTGAAAATGAGAATTTTGTACGTGAATATTTTTAATGCTTGCTTTTGCCCTTTCTGTCCTGCACTGATTTTTAAAAATAAATTCTGAAAGCTCTAATTATTAATAAACATTTTTTTTCTCATCCAAATTTGGAAAGACTAGCAAGCTGTTTCCTAATTCCACCCACCCCCGTTTCCCAGTTTTTAGAATCATGCAGTGTATTTCAGAGCATCTCATATCTATTGAAGTCCAGAGCACATTTTCCATACCATCAGGGTTAGAAGGAAATGCTGAAACTGTGCTGCATATTTGCAATAAAGTGGAGGCATGAATGTTAATAAAGAATCTGACTTGTTTTTCAGATTCGGGCTAACCCAACTCCGATAGTTCCTGCTCCTGCAGGATTCTGGGTGACAAGAAGGACTTCAAACTCCATCCCGCCAAACAAGCCAGGGCTGAATAATTCAGAAGTAGTAGTAGAGGAACCAACTGATACTGGTAAGGATAAACACAGAATAGCAATAGCATTAGTGTTAAGATTTATATACTGCTCACAGTGCTTTACAACTCTTTCTAAGTGGTTTACAGAGTGAGCATCTTGCCCCCAACAATCTGAGTCCTCCTCTTACTGATCTTCAAAGGGTGGAAGGCTGAGTCAACCTTGAGCTGGTTAGGATTGAACTCCTGGCAGCCGGCAGTCAGCAAAAGTAGCCTGCAGTACTACGTCACCAGTTTCCAACTTGTTCTGCTTCATAAGATGTGCACAGACAGGTAGTCTTCAAATTATGACTTTAATGGAGCTGTCCCATTATGGTTGTAAGTCGTGATGGTCATAAATGACAGGTACTTCCAATTTTACAACATTTTTTTGTGGCAGTTTTTAAGCGAATGCCATGGTTATTAAGCAAACACTGTGTTTGTTAAGCAAACTAATGGTTCACTATGGGCATAGTTTTGCAGAAAACTGGAATTAACTACCAGTTTTAGGCAAAACTGGTGTAAAACATACACGATCATGGGGTACTCAAAATGTTCATGTTGCCAAGCCCCCAAAGGTCAATCATATCACATGGGGAGCAACTATCGGATCTTCAGATCCAGAGTGTAAGACAAGTAGATTTTACAGGTAGGGTGTAACTTAGAATAGTTGCTAAATAACCAGTTGTAAGTCAAGGATCCTATTGTTCAAACTTCCAAATTTCAAGAGAACTTTCATGAATTATACCAACTCATAACTTAAAGCAAAAATATGCCTTTTGCCAGGGTTACTGCTTCATTAATTTCCTTTATAAAGTTTGGGATATTGGTTAGGAATTTTTAAAAAGTCATTTAAAAAATTCTCCGCAGAAGTCTCCTGGCTTGAAATGGAACATGCCATTATTTTTCAGAATAGATGTGATCTGAAAATTTCAGTATATACAATTATTGGCACCAGTGTTTTTTTTTCTCCTTTATTTCAAAAATGTGTTTCTCAATTAGAATCTAGACCTTGCATAGCATCAATGTTAATAAGTTCAGATGCATCTGTTACCTTTCCAAAATTGTTACTATGCCAAATGTTTGAAGTACTTTGTAGTCATAAACATTGAATGTTTTTCTAAGCATTTAGAAACTCTTACTTTGAATTGATTTTATATGTTGATTGACAAATTAAGTAATTGACTTTTAAAAAAATCAGCAATTAAGTGCAATAATTACTGCAATTTATCTGTTTTTGTTGACTATACAAACAGTCCTCGACTTACAAACATAGTTCACTTAACTGTGGCAAGAAAAATCATAAATTGTGTAATTTGGGGATTGTGGAATTTGAAGCATAAAGCATTGGGGGAAATTCATTGAAAGTTTTTGGATAATTACATGACTCCAAAATGTAAGGTTAGATTTTCATCCTTTCTGTTGGAATTGTTTATTTTACATGAAATTTACTTCTGATATGTGTCTCTAATAGTGCACTTACCCTCTGCTTTTCAAGGAGAATATCAAGAAGATTATCTGTATACTCCTCCAGGTGAGACTAGAGTATTACCCTAAATGTCTGCTTCAGAACTTTATTGTTTTTGTAGTAAATAGTTATACCTAATAGCTGCTGCTTTCAACTTCATATTAATCCCTGCTTTCCAGATCCAGAGTGCGAAACAACCACAGTATTTAATGCACCTGAATCTACTGCAAATTTGGTAAGCTTTAATTAAGAACATTAAAATTAGCATGGTTAGAGCCTGTTAGAACCTCAAAGGAAATGTGAAAGCAATTTCCAACTTTGGCACTGTCACATAATACTGTTGTAGTAGTCAGATAGTAGTCCCTGAATTGTATAAATTTCTACCAGCTTGCACAAAGTAATGAAAATGGTGCTTGCTCAGGTGGGTGTGCAAAATAGTTGTCAGCTTTCCTATTCTGTAGTGGCTCAGTTGCTAATGTTGGAAGGGGGCTAGTACAACTTGGCACGGTCAGCTCGGCTTGGCCAGGTCAATGCGCCTAGCTCACCACCACCAAGTCATCATTGCCAAGTCACCGGACCATTCAACACAGCCAATTTGCCATGGGGATAACTCGCTGCCGCATGGCCTGAACCACTGCTACTCTGCGTTGTGCCCATACGGTCACTCGCTTGCAAAGCAGGATTACAGAAACCATGGTTTGGAAGTAGCTGCATATCAGGACATAAATCCCTGCCTTGAGGTGGATTTGGATAATGGGATTCAACAGAAAACAAAATTCAGAGTTTGGCACAGAACATCTAAGTATATTCAAAGACTTAGCCACTTTCACCTCTCTGAACACACTTTTAATAGCTGTTATTTTTCATTAGCCCAAGTGACCCTTTAATAACATAGCATAATGTTGATTCTCATTTCTCTCACTCTTTCTTTTTAAAATGAATTGTCTTGTCTGCAGGATGCAGGAGCAAATTGTGTCTCTTCTCAGGAAGCAGCTACCTCCTACAGTTACTCTCAGAAGGTAAATTTCTCTGAGGAAATTTCTTGGTGTCAATAAGAGTTTCACTATCCAGAAGATCTTAAAAGTGTTTGTGAAACATACGTTTTAACTTAATTTTGATAAAAGCAATAAAACATTTAGCTAACTAAAATGGAAATTCACTGTTGAATTCCAAAGTTGTCTTCAAACTCCAGTGCAGTGTTTCTCAACCTCAACATCTTTAAGATGTGTGAACAATGTTATATAAAAGATGTTAAGACTCTAGAAAGAGAGGAGATAAGAACAACAAGGACGATTAGAGGCCTGGAGACTAAACATATGAAGAACAGTTGCAGGAATTGGGTATGTCTAATTTAATGAAAAGAAGCACTAGAGGTGACATGACAGCAGTCTTCTGATATTTGAGGGGCTGCTCCAAAGAAGAGGTGGGGCAGTTTCAACCTATTCCCCAAAGCACCTGAAGGCAGGACAAGAAGCAATGGATGGAAACTAAGGAAAGAAGCAACCCAGAACTAAGGAGAAATTTCCTGACAGAACAATTAAGCAGTGGATCAGCTTGCCTTCAGAAGTTGTGGGTGCTCCATCACTGGAGATTTTCAAGAAGACATTGGACAGTCACTTATTTGGAATGGTATAAGGTCTTCAGCTTGAGCATTAGGTTGGACTAAAAGAGCTCCAAGGTTCCTTCCAATTCTGTTATTCTGTGACTTCAACTCCCAGAATTGGCTAGCAAGGGAATTTTGGGAGTTGAAGTTCACACCTCGTAAAGTTGCTGAGGTTAAGAAACACTGCTCCAGTGTGACTTTAGGAGAAAGTTACTACATTCAAGGAGATTAATCACACTAATTTTATTGATCATAGTATTTAATTACTTTCTCTGCCATAACATTCAAAATATGCCCCTTCCTCCCCAATGGTGCCCCCCCAACCCAGCTGCTTCAAAGCTGTGTCATTTATACAACCACGGTGACTTCTTAAAGGCCAGAATAGTTTGAAGAAAAATAGGAAAATTGTTAAATGTTTTGTATCAAATTTGTATCAAATGCTGTATCAAAGCAAATGATGCTTTGTTACAGCAGACATCTGTGTAATTTGCCTTAGAAAATTCATACTCCATGAGGTTGACAAATTTTAGGATGTTTTAAAATTAAAGTCACTTGCCCCATATGGCATTCAGATAAGAGGTTTAGAAGTGAATTTTTGCCCATTAATTATTTATTTATTTTTAATTTTTTTTTTTAATTTGATTTATATGCCGCCCTTCTCCGGAGACTCAGGGCGGCTTACAATGCGCTCAGCAATAGCCTTCATCCTTTTGTATATTTATACAAAATCAGCTTATTGCCCCCACAAACTGGGTCCTCATTTCATCTACCTTAGAAAGGATGGAAGGCTGAGTCAACCTTGAGCCTTGGCGAGATTTGAACCTGCAGTAATTGCAGGCAGCTGGTCTTAATAACCAGCTTAATAACAGGGTGCCTTAGACCACTGTACTACCAAGGCTCTTTATTATAAGTATTGCTTATTTAATAAATTTATACACCGCTCATTCTGATGCAACACTTATCAGCATGCATGTTGGTAATGCTAAACTATAGTTTATTTTTACACTCAAATTGGGTTACTTAAACTAAAATCTATTAATTGCATCAGAAGATACTTCATACTGCAAAACCATTTGTTCCGGGATGCCTTGTGTTTTTATATCTGAATTTCACAATGCTGACCTTTCTGCCTCCTCCTTCATAGGTCATGGTAAATTCTGCCATTATATCCAGCTCTTCCTGTGTGAATACAGCTCCAGCCGCCATTTTCTCTTCCAGCTGCAGTGCTTCAACTCAAGTCACTATCACTGCATCTACCCCCCAGAATGCTGTGCCACCGATCTTAGTAACCTCTTCTGTGGGAAGGCCAGGTGGAGTATTGATTTCACTTTTGAAATATTTCTGGAAAACCCTTTGAGTTTTCAAAAAACATGGTTTCTGACCACAAGTGGTTTTTGAATCATAATGACTGTTTAGTCCCTAGAAGACATTGAAGTAAGTTCACTTGATCTTCTGGAGAAGTCAAATGCATTTAGGCAATAAAGTTACAGGGAAGAAGAACAATTAATCAATAGAACAGCTTGTTCCATCGCTGGAGATTTTCAAGAGTAGACTAGACAACCATTTCACTGAGATGGTATAAGGCAGTGTTGACGAACCTTTTTGGCACCAAGTGCCGAAACGGGCGCACGTGCATGTATGCATGAGGGAGCACCAGAAACTGGAAAAGCAGCTCCCTGATGCGCACGCACAGAAGCACTAGAAACTGGAAAACCAGTTCTCCGGTGTGCATGCATTTGCCAGGAAGCTAAGCTTCCAGCGAGTGCATGTGTGCCGGTCACCTGGTCTTCCAGTTTCTGGTGCACATGTGCGTGCGAAGACCAACTGGCCGGCGCTTATGTGCATGCCGGAAACCGGAAGCTCAGCTTCCAGCATGTGCGCCAGGGAGCTGCTCTTCCGGTTTCTGGCACTTCCACACTTGCAAAGACCAGCTGGCCAGTGTGTATGTGCAACAGAGGTGGGTTTCAGCAGGTTCTGACCAGTTCTGGAGAACCAGTAGCAGAAATTTTGAGTAGTTTGGAGAACTGGTAGTAAAAATTCTGACTGGCCCATCTATTCTCTGCCTCCCAAGTCCCAGCTGATCAGGAGGAAATGAGGATTTTTCAGTAACCTTCCCCTGGATTGGGGTGGGAATGGAGATTTTACAGTATCCTTCCCCTGCCACACCCACCAAGCCACACCCACAGAACCGGTAGTAAAAAATTTTGAAACCCACCACTGCTGTGCATGCCGGAACCTGGAAGAGCAATGGGCGATGGCTGGCATGCCCGGAGAGATGGCTCTGCGTGCCACGTCCGGCATGCATGCCATAGGTTCTCCATCACTGGTATAAGGTCTCCTGCCTTGAGTTGGGTTGGACCAGAAGACCGACACAATTCCTTTCAACCATATGATTCTAAGTCAAATCCTTCAGAATGGAGGCCTTTTAAGGGGCTGGTTATATTGTGTTTTTCATCTATGCATGCAAATGTCAGGTTACGATGTCATCTCAAATAAATTGCATTTCCAAACAAATAGTCTTTGATGAAATCTTTCATTTATTGAGCACAACAATCTGTCCCCGAGTCCATCATACCCAGCACTGACCTTCTGACCCCAAACCCTCCCTTTCCGTTCCCCAATTCTCTGCGTCTCATTGGCCATCTTCCAAGTCACTCTCCCCATATCTACTACTTCAGCTCACAGGAATATCCCCCCTCCCATCCCATCTCCTAGGGGATAATATCTTCAGGGAAAATAAGTAGGTGAAGAGTCAAGCGTCCTCTTCTCTTCCTTATGTCAGCACTGGAGTGAATATAGCTTGGAGTGTTGACAGCAAAATTTTGACTTTGTTCTATATATTAGAAGATACTTGGCAGAGACAGCAAGATCAGGTCTGTTTAGGTTCTCAGTTTGACTTGGATTGTTGATCCAGGTTAAATTTATTTTGGGAACATTGAGTCAGATTATGTAGATTTCCCCAATGGATTCATTGCATAAATTCTGTTTTGTGGATTCCACTGCTTTCATAATTAATTTAATGTTTCTCTCCCCACTTTTCAAATAGTGGTGTCAGTGTATCAGTCATCTCCCCTTCCTCCTGTCAATGATGTGGGGGAAAATGGCAGTATTACACCCCCTTATTCTTGTGATCCGAGCGGAAGTGACCTGCCTAGAGGTAAGATATCATTTTCTCTGATGCGTGGGAGTAATTTTAGCTGCGTAAAATGAGTCAATTCTAGAGATGCTTATGGAATTACATTCTATTATATGCATTAACTAATTTGGACTGTCCAGATTAAAGTGCAATGTGGGACTTCATTATCTTGCAGGTTTTTAATGCCAGAAACTTCTGATTCAGTTATTTTGGCTTGGAGAAATCTTTCAAAATATTTTTAAAGGCATATTTTTGTAAGAGTATGCATTTAAAATATATAGTTGTATTAAATGTGTGGACTCTCTACACACAGTCACTCATGCCCTCATCACCTCTCGTCTGGACTATTGTAACGCTCTCTACATGGGGCTCCCCTTGAGGTGCACTCGGAGGCTCCAACTGGCGCAGAGTGCGGCCTCGCAGGTGGTTATGGGAGTGACGTGGAGTTCCCATGTAACACCTCTCCTGCGCGAGCTGCACTGGCTCCCTGTGATCTTCCGGGTGCGCTTCAAGGTTCTGGTTATCACCTTTAAAGTGCTCCATGGCTTAGGACCTGGTTATCTATGGGACCGCCTGCTACCACCAATAGCCTCCCACCTGCCAGTACGCGCCCATAGAGAGGGGCTCCTCCGGGTGCCTTCGGCCAAACAATGTCGACTGGCGGCCCTCAGGGGGAGAGCCTTCTCTGTGGGGGCACCTATGATCTGGAACGAGCTCCCCCCGGAAATACGGAGGATCCCGGATCTGCGCACCTTCCATCGCGCGTTTAAGTCTTTTTTATTTCATCAAGCTGGCCTGGCCTAAATCTTCTCCCCTTTTAAATATAAATTTTTAATTGTTTTTAAATTATGGGATATTTTAAATTTGTTCAGCCAAATTATTTAATTTGTTTTTATTTTATTTTAAATTTTTGTATTTATGTGTTTTATCTTGTGGCTGTTCACCGCCCTGAGTCCTTCGGGAGAAGGGCAGTATAGAAATTTAATAAAATAAAATAAAAAATAAAATAAAAATAAATATGCTTTTGCTTAACTGCTGTGCCAAGGGAAACATAATCATGGATGTATCAATGGCGATCCACAATAGAAAGTGTCCTCACATACTGCATGTGAGGTATGGTATTTATTTATTTATTTATTTATTTATTTATTTATTTATTTATTTATTTATTTATTCATTCATTCATTCATTCATTCATTCATTCATTCATTCATTCATTCATTCAATTTGTATACCGCCCTACTCCCGAAGGACTCAGGGCGGTGAACAGCCATAGAATAAAACATATGAGTACAAAATTTAAAATAAAGTAAAACGAATTAAATAATTTGGCTGAAAATTTAAAACCCCAATAATTTAAGACCAAATTTAAAATTTCCATCTAAAAAGGGGAAAAACTTAGGTCAGGCCAGCTTGATGAAATAAGAACGTCTTGAGAGCATGACGGAAGGTGCGCAGATCCGGGATCCTCCGTATCTCCGGGGGGAGCTCGTTCCAGAGAGTAGGTGCCCCCACAGAGAAGGCTCTCCCCATGGGGGCCGCCAGTCGACATTGTTTGGCCGATGGCACCCGGAGGAGCCCCTCTCTATGGGCGCATATGCTGGTTTAACTGCTGCGGACAGCAAGGCACTACAGAGAGTGATCAATTCAGCACAAGAAACTATTGGTTGCCCTCTAACACCACTGGATGACATCGCCTGGTTTCGCTGCTTTAGTAGACTAAGGAAGATACTCAGAGATGATTACACCCTGGTTAGTGCCTCTTCCCACTTCTACCATCAGGCAGAGGACATCGAAGCATAGCCAGCCGAACAAATAGGTTTAAAATTAGTTTCTATCATTGGACTATCAGACTCTTAAACACAACCACAATCACTCCACACACACGTGGAAACGTATAACTAGTTTTTCTTGTTCTTTCTTTTTTTCCCCTGATTACTTGCATAGGGATTATTCTTTATACTATTTATGTTGTTTGTATTTTTTGTCATGGATTGCACCAGTGAGGCTAAAACCAATTTCGTTGTATACATGATGTACAATGACAATAAAGGCTATACTACTATCCAAGTGTTTGGAATACAGATTGAAATAGCCCAACTGGCTGTGTCTCTCTAAGCTTGCCATTGGGGCTATTTGAATTTCCCTGGTGTAAAAAGCTATACATCAAACACATTACAAGAAGGAATGGATTAGGAAAGTGAACTCTAATTATATGGTTCTTCCTTTCCAAATCCACTAGAAAGAAAACGTTGAGGCTGTTTTGCAAAGAAAACAAGGTTTTTAATAGGAACTCCATGACTTCAGAGTTGTCTTTTGGTTGAAGTTTGCAAATAGTTTGCAAACTTTTAACAGCAACTGTTAAAAGTTACAATAGCGTTGAACTACTGGTATTTATGACCAGTCAAAGTTTTGACTGTTGTGGCATCTCCACAGTTTCATGATTGTGATTTCTGATGTTCCTGATCTGTCCCCGTCCACACACACACACAAACACAGCCAGCCGAGGGTTAAGGAAACACTTTGGCACACACCCAGGTCTTATCTCCAACTTGGCAGCGATTTACACACCGTCTGCCAAGTGCGTTTATTTCCACAAAACAGAAAGATAAGATACTTAGCATACAAAAAGTCCAAGCAGAATAATATTTCTCTCAGCAGTTCCGGACGAGGCTTTAGTGACTATCCAAGGTTTACTTTGTTCGTCACAGGGATCACTGGCCACCACCCTCTATTATATAGTCTCTGGGGTGTGGTCCAGTGACTCAGTTCTAATCCCTAGCACGCCTCCTGAGCTGCTGCAATCGTTTATCACGCCTTCGGAGGCGTGCGTCCAGGAATGATGTTTCTCCTTCGCTCTCATCCGAGCCACCTGTCTCTCTGTTAATCTCCTCTCCCTCGGCCGGCACCTGAGACAATGCCAGAGGGGAGGGGCCTGGAGAGGGAGGCCTGGCTGACTCCTCTTCCTCATGCTCGGAGCTTTCTTCCTCCGATGGGACAGGCTCAGAGGGCGGGGCCACAACAGTTCCCTGAGAGCATCCCACAAGCAAAGTCAATGGGGAAACTGACAGAAAGTCAAAAGTTGCACTCACTTGAAGTCCTCACGTAAAAATCCATGTACTACTTGCTTAAAAACAGCCTACTCACGTGATAGCACACTTTATGACCATGTCTCTTAGCAATGGCAGTTCCAATCCCAATTGCCATGGTACACCGAGGACTACCTGCACAGGGTGGGTCAGGAATTGACTGTAATCAAAATAAATTGGAAGCCAGTTACAGGGCTATCTGTAGCTTGTCTCAATTCTATATTTGCAAATAGAATGTATGTTGTATTAGATTTTTAAAAGGATATTGACCATGCTTTGAAATGTTGATGTTAATAAATATAAGTAGAATAACAGAGTAGGAAGTGACCGTGGAGGTCTTCAAGTCCAACCCCTTGCTTAGGCCGGAAACCCTATACCAGTGGTGGCGAACCTGTTACTTACCGAACAAGAACGCGCTTCGCGTGCTGTGCATGCTTGCGTGCCATCTGCGGTAACGCGTGGCTCCTCCCCATGTGCTATGCGTGCAACCGCACCATCTGTGCATGTATGCAGCTTTTGCGCATGCGCACACAGTGTCACCATATGCACATGTGCACAGCTTTCGTCCACGCAATGCACACGCGTAAATGCTGTCTGTGCATGCATGCACTGTGCACCAGTCATCTCATGCGCAAACACGCACATGCGCAGGAGAGCTCCGAAGACCAGCTGGGTCCCCTGAATTGCACGCATGCAATATGTTGATGTTAATAGGTATAACATTAGTTAGATTTTACATTCAAAACTTAATAAGCAGCTGCAAATTACATCAATATATGTATTGTGCAAGAAAGGTTTCTGTTTTTAGCTGAAAATTTAATGCTAAAGTTTCCATTAGATTGTGCCTTATTGTTGCTTGTGAATGTTGCAAAAGAAACTGCAAGTACACAAAAAGCAAAATAGGCAATGACAACTTAAAAAGGAAAACGGGTGGCAGTGAAATCCAACCGGATCTATCCGGCTGGTGTGAACCGATAGCGCCGGTGGCGAGAGGCTCCACCCACCTGCCAGGACATCATTACGTCCCATTTTTGTCCCTCTGCGCATGCGTAGAAGAGATGTACGCACTCATATTCCAGAACCGGTAGCAAAGGTAAGTACATTTCACCACTGAAAACGGACTATTCAGTTTCTAGCTTCCCTTTTGTTGTGCTTCTGCTAATTTGTGGTGTTACATAAACATTTAGGACAGGGAGTGCTAACATTCAATGGTTTAAAAGTAAAGTATACAATAGAAAAGGTGAAATAGATTGCAGAAGGATGACTCAGTAATAATTGTATTTTTCCCATGCTGTGATCTGTCCTAACAGTTGGCATATAATAATTTTTGTGAGAAGTGGAGCTGGGAAATTTAGATGTCAGTTTTAGTTGTTTTTCCAGGTGTTATGCACCTCCTTTTTTGTTTTTATTCCTTGAAAGTTGCAGATTTTGGTTCATCCAATGTCATGGATACCTCTCCTACTGGTAGTCCTTGGCTTACAACCGTTCTGAAAAAAGGGGAATTATGACAGGTCCTCGCACTTACAACCATTGCAGCATCCCCATGTCATGTGAGCAAAATTTGGTTGCTTGGCAATTGGTATGTATTTACGATGGATGCAGCATCCCAGGGTCACAAGAATTCCATTTGCGACCTTCCCAGCAAATGGGAAGCAAAGTCAATGGGGGAAGTTGGATTCGCTTAATGGCTGCATGATTCACTTAACAACTATGGCAAAAACAGTTGTAAAATCAGGCCTATCTCATTTAACAACTGCCTTGCTTAGCAAGGGAAATTTTGATCCCAATTGAGGTCATAAATTAAGGATTACCTGTATTCGCAGGTACAGCTAAAAAAAACACCACAGTGCTCTCTCCCAGTGCAAAATTAATCAAACTAATGGATTTTTCTAAAATTGACTTTCTTTTCATAACCACAGCTGTTTAATAAACTAATATTTAAATGCTATCAGTGGGAGAAAATATCTGTAAAGTCATTTTATATGAATTGGTGGACAAACATGAGAAAAATGCAAATATTCACACCTTCTAGGATACGTATGAAATGCAGTGACCAAATTCTTTTCTTTTTTAGATCCAAAGGTTTTGCAGTATTATTTTAATTTGGGCTTGCAGGTAGGTGCTCTATACAAGTCTAGTGGTACAACCACCTTTTGGGAGAGTGGGGTGTCAATCTTTGGGAGAGACAGATATTTTTCAAAATTTTCTGAAGTCTGACAGGGAATCCTTTGCTTGAAGTCTACACAAGACCTGGAGCTTTTCTTAAAAGATTGTAAATATATTGCTTTTATCCATGCTGACTTCCTAAGCTGCTGTTCTCGAGCTAGGTAAATATTCGCCAGTGCTGACAAGCAGAAAAGAGAAGCAGCATTGATGGGTATAGCAAGAGTTATATTGCTTCCTTAAAGCATACCTACTTTCTTTTTTTGTTAATGTTTACAAAATAAATAGATTCCCATTCTTCTTCTGTATTATTTATCTCTTGCATAAAGCACAGAAAAATAATTTCTGCTCCTTTGTAAAGATTGTTGTTGTTTTAACCATTTAGTTGTGTCCAACTCTTGCCAACTTTATAGGCTCTTCATGCTACCCTATCAAGCACAGCTTCTTTCAGTTGTTGGATAGCATTTTTGTATCAGATTTGCAATAGCGCTTAAAAAGCACTTAGACTTCTATACCGCTCCACAGTGCTTCACAGCCCTCTCTAAGCGGTTTACAGAATCAGCACATTGCCCTACAACAATCTGGGTCCTCTGTTTACTGACCTCGGAGGGATAGGAGGCTGAATCAGTCTTGAGCCAGTCAGGATCGAACTCCTGGCAGAGTTATCCTGCAATACTGCATTCTAACCACTGTGCCACCCTGGTGGTTATTATAAATAATACTGTAGCTAAACAGTTTCTAAACAGCAAAGAGCTCAATTGCTGGAATTCTTGTAACCTTATCTTTTCCATCTCAAACCTTGCTAAAGAGAATAAAATTCAGTTTGGAAAGAATTAGGTTTTAAGTAGCCACTAAACAGCTTGAGCACACTTTAGAACAAAGATTCCTGTTAATGGTCTGCTGACTAGGATTAAGCTATGTTTTGCCCTCGATCCAGTGTCTTGTGTAAAACAGTTGATTTATGCAAGGCACTTCTTAAATAGATCTAAACGGGCAGATTTCAACAGCTACTTTGTCAATCTGGGCAGCAATAACTCACCTATTTAAAATTTTCTTGCCTTAAATTGTGTTAGTATTACCACCAGGCCTGTTGGAACCCCGTGATGTATGTACAGCAACCACCGTCACCACCACCTCATGTGGAAACCTACCAGACCTATTCAGAGCAAGTCTCTGTGGTTGATTCATCAGCGCCTCTGCCTTACAACGACGTAGGGAGGAACGATCTGCGCCAGATGCCTGCAGACTCCTCATCAACCGGTTGGTCTCTGCCTATTTTAAGTTTAAGAAGGTTGAGTTGAGTGTCACCAACTTAAATTTGGCATGGCAAATTCAATACAGGTAGTCCTTGGCTTATGACCATAATTGAGCCCACCATTTCTGTTGTTAAGTAAGACACTTGTTAAGTGAGTTTTGCCCCATTTTACAACCTTTCTTGCCACAGTTGTTAAGTGAATCACAGTAATTGATAAGTTAGTAAGCTGGTTGTTAAGTGAATCTGACTTCCCCATTGACTTTGCTTGCCAAAGCAAGAAGATCACAAAAGGGGATCATGTGACCCTCGGACACACAAAGATCATAAATATGAACCAGTTGCCAAACATCTGAATTTTGATCATGTGGCCATGGGTGCTGCAAAGGTCATAACTCATGCAAAAAGATTATGTCCCATTTTTCAGTGCCATTGTAACTTTCAATGGTCACGAAATGAACTGTTGTAAGTTGAGGACTACTTGTACTTTCAAAATGTTTTCTAGGTTTTTTTTTTTAGAGTATACATATAGTCCTCGACTTGCAACCATTCATTTAGCTACTGTTCAAAGTTACAGCAGCGTGAAAAAAAAGTGACTTTTGACTGGTCCTCACATTTACAACCACTGAAGCATCCCCACAGTCACATGATCTAAATTTGAGCACTTGGCAACTGGCATGTATATACCTGTTACATTATCCTGCTGTCATGGGATTCCCACTTTAAACTTGCCCAGCCAGCTTCTGACAAGTAAAGTCAATGGAGGAAGCTGGATTCATTTAATGACCACGTGTTTTGCTTAACAAATTGCAGTAATTTGCTTAACAACCATGGCAAAAAAGATGCAACTTACTTAACTGCCTTGCTTAGCAATGGAAATTCTGGTCGTAATTGTGATCATATGTCAAGGATTACCGATACATTCATAGCTTCCACCCTGCCTTCAGCCAGAGTGATGGATGGCCCATTTTGAGGCCAAGACTTGATTATTCATTTGTTAACCTGGTTACGTGCCTGATTTTTTTGAACCTTTTTTTTTACTCTTTCTGGCATAATTCCTTCTAGTAACTTCATTAATGATAAAGTTTGTATTTTATTTCATTTTAGACCATTTTGCTAATGTAGTAATAATGAAAAGAAGCACAATTAACTCTTTACCATTGCAGTGAGACTCTGGTGAGCAAGATCAAAACAAAAGAATTTTGTAGATATAACATAACCCTGAATAGTTTAAAAAAGTAAAGGTAAGAGAGTCCCTATGGATTCTACTCCACTAGTTGTTGCTGACTATAGGGGACAGTGCTCATCTTCATTTCAAAGCCATTGAGCCAGTGGTGTCTCCAAAGATATTTCTGTGGTCACATGGCCAGCATGAAGTCACGGAGTGCTGTTAGCTTCTCACAGAAGTGGTACCTATGTATCTACTTGCATTTGCATGCTTTTGAACTCTTAGGTTGGCAGGAGCTGGGCGAGGATGGAAGCTCAGCCCCATCATATGGCACCTGGGTCTCGAACCTGAGCTGCCGGCTTTCCAGGCAACAACTCAGCCTCTTAACCACTAAGTCACCTCACCGCCCTGAATAACTTAAAGTGATAAACATATTTAGCTCAATTCCTGATGACTTATCAGGACATAGTTATGTAACAAGATAGAAGTAATTTGCTGTTTCCTTTTTTTTCTGTGTAGTCTCTAATTGTGGGATTCATCTGTTGTAGATATAGGTGGTCCTTGACTTAACAGCCATTTGTTTAGTGAGCATTCAAGGATATAACAGCACTGAAAAAAGTGCTTTCTGAACGTTTTTCACCTACTTAGACTGTTGCAGAATTCCCATGGTCTTATGATAAAAATATGGACGCTTGGCAACTGGTTCATATTTATGACGGGTTATGTGGTCGCCTTTTATGACCTTCTGACAAGCAAAATCCGTGGGGAAGCCAGATTCATTTAATGAGTGCAGTGATACACTTAATAACTGTGGCAAGAAAGACATGGTAGATTGGGGCAAACTCACTTGACAACTGTCCCCTTTAACAACAGAAATTTTGGGCTCAATTGTGGTCATAAGTCGAGGACTATCTGTACTTCTCCATATAGTTTTTGAATATCGGTCAGATATTCAAAAGAAGATTCAGCTTCTACCTGCTCTAGGCTAGGCAAAGACATAAGCTTCTCAGTTATCCTGAGTTTTGGATTATAGATTCCTTCAATAATCTAAGTCTGCCACTTTCCAATTTTAATAATACTACTTTCCAGACTTTGCAGTAATACTAATATATTTTCTCCCTGAGGAGCATGGAGAGGAAAAAAAGACAGCTGTGATGACAAATAGCATTTTTCTTTTTGTTAAGAAAAATGAACTGTTCCCTTTACTGTCAGGAGATACTCCTTGAAGCTGCTCTGAAATTTTATTTTGTTTTTTTTTTAAAACAACAACAACAACAACCTCAAGGAAAGCAATTCTGTGGCAGAGCATGTGACACACAGTTCATCATGGAAAGGTTCCACTAGTGCATATTCGATTCATACTAAACACTGTTGGAACATAGATTTATTCAATCATTGAATTAAGTATTTGCTTTGCAATTGTGGTATTGCAGGAATGGAATTTCATGCTTCTACATGAGTAACAGCGGCAATAATTTGCTTTCTGTTTTTGTTATGTGTGGTTTCCATACAATGTGTGCTGTGGAAGAGATGAGGATTTTATATAGTTAGCTAAAATTGGCATTCTTGCAAATTGCAATATGTACATGTAATCCTTGACTTTGTCCACAGTTGAGTACGAAATTTCCATTGCTGAGTAAGATTTGCACCATTTTACGACCTTTCTTGCCACAGTTGTTAAGTGAATCATTGCAGTTGTTAAGTAACTAACATGGTTGTTAAGTGAATCTGGCTTCCCCCTTGATTTTGCTTGTCAGAAGTTCACAAAAGGGCACCACATAAGCCAGGGACATTGCAACCATCATAAATACATGTCAGTTGCCAAGCATCAGAATTTTGATCACGTTGCTGCGGGGATGCTGCAATAGTTGTAAGTGTGAAAAACAGTCATAAGTGACTTCAGCACCATTGTAACTACAAACAGTCACTAAATCAATGGTTCTAAGTCGAGGATTACCTGTAGTACAACTTTTACCCAGTTTGATATTGTCCAGAAACTTGGTTATTTATTTATTTGTAACCAACCTTTATTATTTTTTTCAAAAACTTGAGGCAGCAAATGTACAGAACATAGCTTCCTCTTCCTGTTTTTTCCCACAACAACCCTGCAAGGTGGGTTGAAAGAGAGTGACTCGCTCAAAGTCACCCGGCCATCTTTCATGGCCAAGGAAGGATTTGAACTTGCAGTCTCTCGCTTTCTAGCCTGGTACTTTAACTACTAGATCAAACTTGCTCTCACCCACTCAGCATGGTTGTTGTATCAGCTTATGGGAAGTTTTTGTCCAAACAATAGTGGTAGTTGATAAATAGGGAGGGAGTGCTGGGTTTAATTGACAGATAAATCCACCTAATAATTGATCAGGGCGATATATAAATCAAATCACTGTTGTAAGTCTGAAAAACCAAGCTGGGGACAGATTCTGGAAAAAGTTTCCATGATTGAGAAGACTTGGTGGCATAACAAGCAACAAAAAAGAATGAATTAATCATTGGGGATGAATGGAGGTCTCGATCCATCTGTACATGAGATTTAATTCAGTGGTTCTCAACCTGTGGTCTGTGGATCGCTGGTGGTCCAGGATGTCATCACAGGGGGTCCATGAAAGCTTGAAAAAACATTATGATTTAAATCTTTTGGGGGGTGTTCATGGCCATGGTCCGTGGCCACAAAAGGTATTTAAAGGGGGTGAAGAAAAGGTTCAGAACCACTGATTTAATTGATTGTTTAGTAAGAAAGCAATGCAAACCATGGTTTAATTCAGTGGCCTAACATTTAGTCCTTTAAAATGATACCTTTATTGAGGTCAATAAAGGATATATAGAATTAGGTTCAATGAGGTCAATTAAGCAACTCCAAACATTTATTTACAATCAATTACCGGTCTGATAATTAGAACATTGTCCAGGACCTTAACGTTTAATTATTTAAAGGTCCAAGAAATGCACCCTCTGCTGATCTTTTTTGTGAAATATGTTCTCCTTTTTCAGATGCCTTAGCCATCCCAGAATCCTCTTCACCACCTTCTGGAAGCATCTATTACCCTGTGGTAACAGACACATACACCCCGTCACCTGTTCCAGGATACGAATCTTGCGTCTCATTTGTGCCTGCGTACCACTGTGTCGGTTCTTGGTATCCAGTCAGTGCATCCTATGGGAACTCAGCCCGAATACATAACAATGTTAATCCCAGCCATTTCCATCAGGTTAGCTATGTCACCTCATCCAATCCGCAACCACATTTTGTAGCTCAAAACATGTAGATTCAGAAGGATCAAGTCCGGGAGTCTTCCGCTACTTGGAACTATAATTCCCAGAATGCCGTGGCACACCCAACTGCCTAGAAGGTATACTAAACCAGCAGTCTCCAACCTTGGCAACTTTTGAGATTTGTGGACTTCAAGTCGCAGAATTTCCCAGCCAGAACATGAATTCTGGGAATTGAAATCCACAAGTCTTAAAGTGGCCAAGTTTGGAGATGCCTGATCTAAAGGTTACCCACAACTCTTCCTGATTTACGTTGGTTGGTTCATTTCTTGTCCTTCTACCATTTGCTAACCATGTTGTGGTTTTTTTTTTTTTCGTGTTTTGTTTCAATGTTGATTTGTATTTGTGGTGGGGGAAGGGTGCAGTCTTTAGCACTTTAGTACTATGGACAATGCTGTAAAGTTAAATTTCGTTGGGATATTGCTGCATCAAGAGAGCATCTAATGCATTCAGAGGATTTTCGTTTAAATTATTGGCATTTTCTGCATCACAATAATAATGTTCATTAAGTCATTAGCTAAATGGCTTAACTCTGTAATGCTATTGTTTATCAGTTTTCATGACTCTTGACTCTAAGGGCATCATTTCCTCTTTTAATACAAAGGCAACAACAATGGAAGAGAATGTTTGACATTAGAAATTTGGACCATTTAATGTTACTGATGCCACTCTTCCTTGATCGTAATACCTTTCCACAGTATGTTTGGTTTAAAAGACAAAGTCTTATTGACTGTTTTCTTTCTTTAGTCTGCGCTTCTGAAAGTGAAGACTTAGGCCTACTCAGACCTACTATTGTTGTCTGAATTCTGTCCGTAAAAACAATTTGCACAAATGGTGGTAAAATTGTGAGGGAGGTTTACAAATTTGGCACCAAGAGCACTAAATAAATTTAAAAAGCACAAAGGCTTGTCTAGTCTTTCTTTGTTTGAGTGAATGAAATGGGATCAAGTATATTAAAACTGGACACTTCAAGTTACACCAAGTCAGAATAGAGACATCACCAGAAATAACGTGGAACTGTTTCAAATTGCATCCAGTTTTGGTCACAACAAAGATGTTGAGACTTTAGAAAGATTGCAGAGAAGAGCAATAAAGACAGCTAGAGGACTGGAGGCTAAAACAAGATGAACAGATGCAGGAACTCGGTATGTCTAGTCTAATGAGGGGTGATATGATAAGTGTTCCAATATTTGAGGGGCTGTCACAGAGAAGAGACTGTGGTGGAATTCAAATTTTTTTTACCGGTTCTGTGGGCGTGGCTTGGTGGATGTGGCAGGGGAAGGATACTTCTCACCCCACTACAGGGGAAGGATACTGCAAAATCCCCATTCTGTCCCCACTCCTGGGGGAAGGATATTGCAAAATCTCCATTCCTACCCCACTCGGGGCCAGCTAGAGGTGGTATTTGTTGGTTCTCCGAACTACTCAAAATTTCCACTACCGGTTCTCCAGAACCTGTCAGAACCTGCTGAATAGCATCCCTGGGTCAACCTATTGTCCAAAGCAACTGAAGGCAGGACAATAACAGATGAATGTTCATTAAAAAGAGATCCAACCTAGAACTCAGAAAGTTCCTGACAGAACGATCAGTGGAATGGCTTGCCACCAGAAGTTGTAAATCACTGGAAGTTTTTAAGAAGACAGTGGACAGCCATTTATCCAGAATGATACAAGGTCTCCTGCTTGAGAAGGGGTTGAAGGTCCCTTTCAACTGCTATTCAGTTAAATAGGTTCAAGTAACAGAACCTTGAAAGTCTGTTAGTGTTTCCTTTTCTCTCCCTCTTATATCAAGAATCACTAAGAGTCATTAAGTTTCTTTCTATCACCTTCTTCCCTCCCTGGTTTCTCATATTTTACTAATAGTCTCTGCTGTCTTTTCCAAAGTCACCTCTGTGATTCTGTACACAAAAGGTGGGCTGGAGACTCTGAATTCTGTTTTTGGAAAATTTAAAATACCGCATCAGGAGACTCGGTTGGCATTTGTTCGGCTATGGGGTTGCTTCAAGGTGGTCTGGTTGCTTTGCAGCATTTAATCTTTGTAACTTTGTGTCCTGGGGGGGTGAGGGAATCATGTAATCATATTTTTGAAGCCTAACAAGCAATGTCAATGCAGAAGCCAGATTCACTTAACAACCCGAGAATGTGAAAAATGGTTATAAGTCACTTTTTAAAGTGCCTTTGTAACTTTGAACAGTCACTAAACAAATAGTTGTAAGTTGAGTATCTATCATCTATCTATCTGTCTGTCTATCTATCTATCTACAACTGTTAGAATTTGAAATACCTGCCTTTTGAGAAAAACTATCTTCTCAAAAGACAGGTGTTTCAAGTTTTAATAGAGTTGTAATATAGATAGATAGATAGATTAGTTAGATAGATTAGTTAGATAGATGTAGATAAAGCAATAGCAATAAAACATTTATACTGCTTCTTAGTCTTTACAACCCTCTCTAAGAGGTTTGCAGAATCGGCACCTTGCCTCCAACAATCTGGGTCCTCATTTTACTGACCTCGGAAAGATGGAAGGCTGAGTCAACCTTGAGCCGGTCAGGATCAAACTGCTGGCAGTGAGCAGTAAATTAGTCTGCAATGCTGCATTCTAACCACTGTGCCACCATGGCTCTTTACATTACACTTCTGTGCAATGCTGACCTAGCTGTATGTGCCCATCTGTGGTGTGTACAAGCCTCCTTTAATGGCAGAAGCAACAAATTTTCACTTCAAATTTTCATTCATTCTAAGTTCCTCATGAGAAGATGAGAATACATTGCTAGGTAGTTAAAATTTAAAAATTGACATGGAATAAATTCTAGCTTCAAGATTCAGCATCTAAACCAAACAGGCAGAGGTAATGTTTTCTCATCAGATGGAGCCTCCAGCCAGGGAAACCTCTTCTATCACTCCAAATGCAGACAGTGCAGAAGTTAACAGCCATTTTATCTAAATGCTGGTGCTAAATGTTATTTTACAGCATATAGGCCTGGTAGCTCAGCAGACTAAAAGCATTGTGATTAACACCAGCTGTCTGCAATTACTGTAAGTTCAAATCTCACCAGGCTCAAGGTTGACTCGGCCTTCCATCCTTTCTAAGGTAGGTTAAATGAGGACCCAGTTTGTGGGGGCAATAAGCTGACTTTGTATAAATATACAAAAATATGAAGGCTATTGCTTAACGCATTGTAAGCTGCCCTGAGTCTCCGGAGAAGGACGGCATATAAATCAAATTAAAAAAAAAAAAAAAAAACCTGGACCCGATTTAAAAGGTTTCAATTGTGAATTAAAAGTTTGTTGAAGGTCCAAAGACTAAGAGCTACTTTTTTACTTTGTTAAAGCTGGCTGGGGAATTCTGGGAGTTGAAGTCCACACGTCTTAAAGGGGCTGAAATTGTATAAAGTTTCTTGCTTGAGCAGGGGGTTGGCCTAGACCACCTCCAAGGTTCCTTCCAACTCTGTTATTCTGTTAGATGTTCAGCTGCAATTTACTGCTTTATAAATCGGGTTTATTCCAGCAAATATTTAGTTTTCTCAAAAGAGCCTTTCTGTTAGGCAAGGGTGATAACTCATAAATCTGGATGAAAAATCTTAGGTTTTTGGACATAAGGTGCATTAGCGTATTTTGACAAGTAAATCCCAGCTGTACCGATTTATGCAAGCTTATACTGAAATTGCAGGTTGCACAATGTGTGCAGTTGCTGCTAAAATATGCATTGTTCTGAATATATAATCTAGGAGCTGAAATTAATTACATCAGTTGTTTGCAATGATTGGATTTTCCTTTCCCAAAGTCCTCGGAGATGGGACAATAGAGACTAAAACTGTGAAGCATGGGAGCCTTCCAAATTGGAAAGATGAGAGCTTTTGCACAGCAGTTTGCCTGGGGAAGCACCCATTTGCTTTTTATGCATTTGCTTTTTATGTCCAGGAAGAAGCAGCTGGATCTAAAGTGGAATGGAAAGTTATGGCATTCCTATCTCATGGCTATTCCCGTTAGGAGCCCTTTCCTTGTAAACTGCTTCTTAAGTGAAGAATCTCCTCTACCAACACAGTATGATTCTCACACACAGATTGCCCCTAAAAATAACACATCCATGTCCTGTTATGGAGGCCAGAAAGCAAATACAGGTAACAACAGAAATTTTGGGCTCGATTGGGTCATAAGTCGAGTACCTGTATTGAGATGTAGAATCATATTTTTTTAAAGGTAGGTGCAAGATAAACGGATGATCTGAATGAGAAAGTGCTGAGCTGCAGTAGCAACAAGTGGGATCAATTTTACAGAATTGGACAATTTCCTCTATTGGGTTCTGGCTCAGCTGAAATGTTGGGTTAAAGTGGACAATTTTGTTATGCTGTGCTTTTCAGCTGCTTTTAAATAAAGTAACCTGCAGAGTTCCTGGGTTTGATCACATTCCAAAATAAATTGATCTCTAGAATATCTTCCCTTCTCAGAAGTTAAATGCCACAGCATCCATTTGACCCACCTTTGTAGATTCTTTGTAGAAATTATTACCAAAGGAATTATCGATCCATCAATTATTTCTTGTCTGGAAAATTCAAAGAGATAGCAATAGAAATAGCACTTAGACTTATATACCACTTCACTTTACAGCCATGTCTAAGCAATTGACAGTGAACATTTTGCTCCCAACAATCTGGGTCCTCATTTTACCAACCTTGGAAGGATGGAAGGCTGAGTCAACCTTGAGCCAGTCAGGATCAAATTCTTGACAGTCGGCAGAATTAGCTGGCAAATACTGCATTCTAATCACTGCATCACCTCAGTTCATGTGATGTACTTTTATTGCTTAAGACTATTTCGTTTGTAGAAAAATCCCTGGGACAGTTTTATAGGTGAATTGGAGAATATTATTAGTACAGGGTGAAAAGAGGGTGATCTGAACACGGGGGCGTGTGTGTGTGTGTGTGTGTGTACACTTATGCACCACACCCTATACATAATCATAGGTGAACCATGTGTGTGCATGCTTTGGATAATTGAACACAGTAAATTCTAGAGCTCAACTTTTAACTCATTATGGTAATCATTTACATTAAGAAAACAATATGCAACTTTAATAAAGAACATACAATTGAAATCATGGAAAGTTGTATTGCTTGAAAGCGAAAAGCCCGTTTATATTTGGAACAGTCCCCCTGCAAGTAGCCTCAGTTGAGTCTTGGCCTCCTAAATTGCTTTGCATCTGCTGGTCCTGGACAGTGATCAATGATAAAATGTAAGACATTGGGAAGCAGAGTCACTAATCAAGTTGAAGATGAGAGAGATGTTGAGAGAGACCAACACTGAATTAATAAAAATGCACCGATGCAAAAGTAAAAGTAGCCAGAACTACCCAGAGGATATCCTGAAGTCTGTTTGATGGAATAAGTATTTTTCAAAGACCTGGAACTTTTGAATGAAAGGTTTGGCATTGGTAAGTCTAAGAAAGCAAATTAAAGAAAAAATGGTGTGCTGTGGCTATCAAATAAGCTAAAAGAACCTGGGGCCTACATTTGTCAGGGACAACCTGGGAAAGAGGAGGTGTCCCTAACTATGAAGAGTTTGTGATAGCAAACAGTTTCCAGGATGCTGATGCTCTACGGCCAAGTGGCTGAACAGCTCTACCTATAGGCGTGTGGTGACCTGCTCCTCCTGCCCATCGTTCCATTGGTTCCTTAACATGTCACAAGCATCTCCCCATGAATCAAAAACATCCTCCGAGGAGTCTATGAGTTTGGAATTTGAGGAACAGATGCTGGAAGCACAGTGAAGGGAGCTGGCGCAAACCACAGGGCACTGGCTCTGTCCCGTATGCCTGATATTTGAACTGTAGCCCACCTCATTGAGGTTAATTTCGCTTTTGGAGCAGTTATCTCGCTCTTTTGTCATCTGAGAATATTTAATGT